AGACGACGATGGTGCTCAGGGAGAGTCTTGCAAGGAGCTATTTCATCTTCTTCTTCTTGTGATTTACCAGGTTTATTGAATATTGAATATTTAGCCATGATAATGGTTGGCTAGTACTTTTTATTGTAGTTAGGGTCACGAACCCTATGTGAACCCTCGTTACAACGGATTGATTTATGGTTTTTCGTTTATATAATTATCTTTACTTTTACCTTGTGCGTAATTTCTATTTTCTTTGTTAGACTTGATCAATCTAATAGTTGATGATAGTTTGAGGGTTAGAACCCTAGATAGGAATATTGGGGTTTTCATCTTGAAAGGGGGTAAGATAACAATTATTATGCATGCTAGGAATATATGTGTATTTAATTGCGGATGCTTAAATTATTGCGTTCATTGCTTAATGCCATGAGGAACATTGCAAGGAATTGGGGTTCCAATTGGGATTAAAGGGTTAACCTTGGAAGGAATTGGGGGTTAACTATTAATATGTTCAGATAATAATTTATCTGAGTAATTATATAATTGAATATTGTAAATCAATCCAAAGTAAGAAGTGGGGATCATATGGTGAGTGTACTCTAGCTACAATGATTTTCTCTTATTCACAAAAATCAATCTTCGCTCTTATTTTTATTCTTCAATACAAAAATTCAAAAACAAGTCTTTATTTTCAGTTCTCAATTTTACACAAATCGACAATATTTGTCACAAACTCTTTGAACTCCTCCAGTCTTGAAAGGGCTATTAATTGATATACGATCACAATCATTGTGGAGACGAACTTTACTTATCATTATATTACTTGTGCGATCGATATACTTGCTGGGAATCTTCAATCCTAATGAAATAAAGCAACTAATGTGTGATTTCTATAGGCAGTTGTTTAGTGAAGAGGTAAACGATAGAAGATGGTTGACATGTGAGAACTGTTGGCTTAAGCTGTCGTTGGCAGAACTTCATAGCATGAACTTGCCTCCTTGTGACCAGGAAATTGTGCAAAAACTCTTCTCTATGGGTGCTTTCAAAGCACCTAGTATTGACGACTACCCTATTTCTTCTTCGAGAGACAGTGGAATAGATCAAAGTTTAGGTGTGCAATGCAATTAATGACATGTGGTCATTTCCATAGAAAATTGCTGAGGTGAACTCTACTTTACTAGTGCTAATTCCGAAAACAAAGAAAGCTGAATCTATTTTCCAATTTCGTTATGCTCAGTCCTCTATAAAATTTTGAGTAAAATGATTGTTTCAATACTCAAAACAGTAATGGAGAAAATTATCTCACCATATCAGGTAATTTTTGTGCCAAATAGACAAATACAAGATAATATAATCACAGTCCAGGAGCTTATTTGTTCTATGAACAAAATGAAGGGGATGAAAGCTTTCATGACTATTAAGATTGGCCTTGTCAAGGTTTACGATAGGGTTAGCTGGAAGTTTTTTAGAAAAACCTTGAGGAGATTCAGTTTCCTGGTGAATTGGTCAACCTTATCACGCAATGTGTTTCTTCATTGAAAATCAACATATTATGGAATAGAGGGAATACTAATGATTTTTGGCCATCAAAGGGCTTGCGCCAAGGTGATCCTCTTTTTCCATACTTATTTGTCATGGCATTGGAGAAATTAATGCATATTATAAATACCGCTTGCAATGGTAACCTATGCAAATTGGTAAGAGTGGGCCAAGGATCTTTCACTTAGCCTTTGCAGATGATTTAATGATGTTTATGGAAGCTAGTAAGGAGCATCTCCATATTCTCCTAAAATGCCTCAACCTATTTGAAGAAATGTCCAGGCAGAATCTTAGCGTGGAGAAGACCATTGTCTTTTTCTCTAAGAATGCTCCTGAGGAGACTATTAAAAAGACTGTGTATGCTAGTTATTTCAAAAAAGCCAAGAATGTAGGGCGGTGCCTAAGTTCTATTATGCAACATTGGCGTGTAATTATGAGCTTATATGATAGAATTATGGATGAGGTTAAGGAGATAATGAATAATTGGTTGAATCACCCTTGCTCAATCGGTAATTTCTGCTATCCCTTTCTTCCAAATGCAAAGCTGCAAGTTACCTACATCAGCATGTGAGGATATAGAGAGGTTGTAGAGGGGTTTCATATGACGTGACAATGAGAATAGCAGGAAACATCACCTTGTTAGTTGGAATGTTATCACCTCGCCAAAGTCAGAATGTCGATTGGGTTTAAGACTCCTAGAGCAGATAAACAATGCATTCCTAGCCAAAAGAGCATGGAAATTTCAAGCTGAACCTCAACATCTTTGGTCTCAGGTGCTTCTTGCGAAGTATGAGAATGATAACAGAAGAACTAGGCTATTTGAAGCTTGAAAGGGTGATTCTAGCTTGTGAAGGAATCTTTGTAAAGTCTGGTATTCTTTGGAGGGTTAGTTACTGTGAACTCTAAGCAACGGTAGGGAGGTTCAATTCTGGAAAAACAAGTGGTTACATGGTGCTGGTTCTCTTAAGGAGTTAGCTATGAATGAAGATTTGTTTTTGGATGATAGCACTTTGGTGGCTAACATGGTTACACCGCCTGGTGCTTGGAACTTCACAACATTTAGGGAGTGGCTTCCTGAAAATATTATTGAGGCAATTCGAAGTTCCCTTTCCCCATCTCCGAATAACGGTCCTGACAAAAAGAAGTGGTTTTTTCTTGGGGGTGTATTTATTTCGGTAAGCAGCATTCCAGTAATATGGATGTGGGGGAGGAGGCTAGGAATGTGTGGAATCGGCTATGGGCTTGGAAGGGACCGCAAAAACCAAAGATTTTTATGTGGAAGGTTCTCTATAATAGGTTGCTTACAAAGCTGAGGCTCTCTCAATGGGGTACAAGTGACCCTACCTGCCCTTGTTGCGGGCTTGAAGATGAAACAATTATCCATGCTCTACAAGATTACAGAGGAGCAACTCAACTCTGGCTGAAACTAAAGCCTGAGTTACAAGGTCATCGTTCTTCATAGTAGACTCATCACATTGGCTAATAGAAAACATCAGTAATGTTTCTCCTGGACCTGCTTCGGTTTCATGGTTAAATATGCTTATTTTAAGTTGCAAGAAATTATGGCATTGGAGGAATGTCGTGTATCATGGGGGTGGGGCTCCCCCTTTAGAGGTTAACAAGCGGGTGATCACAGACTTGATGTTTGATGTTGAAAAAGCTAATGTTGGTGTTGTTGGTAGGCTGTCAGGCATCGACAGATCCACACTAGCATTTCTTGACAGTTTCTGGATGTTAGGTTTGTCAAAATTAATTCAGATGGGGCAGCTCGTGGCAACCCTGGTCCAACAACGTGTGAAGGAGTAATTCACGAATCTAGGGGCAACTGGTTGTGGGGATTTACTCTTCGTTTTGATGTGTGCTTATCTTTTAAAGCTGAACTCTGTGGCATTCTCTGCAGTTTGGAGTTGCCATGGAATAAAGGGTGCCAAAATATAGTCTTGGAAAGTGATTCAAGTAGCGCAATCAATGTGCTTACTTCTGATAATATAGCAGTCTATGAGTTTCATCTTGTCTCTTGTATATGGGCACGACTTAACAAGACTTGGGATGTTCGTTTGCATCACACGTATAAAGAAGGGAACATGTGTGCATATTAGTTAGCCAATTTCATTCTGGATTATTGGGACCTATGGGATAAGATTGTCCTTTAAGAGCCTCCGGGTGATATTTACTTAATTTATCCGGCAGACCTGACTGCTGTAGGAAGGGATCATGCCGTTGTCTATTATTGATAGGATAGTAGTAAGTTTTCTTGTTTTTTTCGTTTTGAACTCAATAGAGATAACTTATCTGCATTTATTGAAAGAAAAAAAAAATGAATCCAAATTTATTTTTAGTTTTTTTTTTCGTTGTTGTTTGTTACAGACGTGTAAGCATTTTTTATTTATACTATTATATATCTTATCAAAATTCATAATGTTCGGTATATATTTGAATTCATCTATTTAAAATTTAAAATAGTTTATAATCCAAATTTTATAGAAAAATCTTTTAAAAAATTCAGTATATATTTGAATTCATTTGTTTTAAATTTAAAATTGTTTATAATCCTAATTTTATAGAAAAATCTTTTAAAAAAAGTACACACAAAATTAATCGAAACCAAACAATTTTTTTGTATATCTCAGTATTGATTTTCTAATATGCATGTCTCTATATTTATACTATTCAAATTTCAAAATATTTTCAATCAGTAAAAAAATATATCTTAAAGTTGAAGTTAGTTTTTCATTTTTTAACTAGGTTAGTTTGAATGGATAATATCTAAATTTAAAAATCAATTACCAATATTATTATCACATCTAAGTTTTAAAGATAGAGTTAGGATATTCTAACTACCAATTTTTTTTACTATCACTCCACTATCACTTTAATCACCATTGGATTAAAGAAAAAGTTGAATGAAGAGAGAGAGAAAAAAATAACTTTTGAATCCAATGGTGATTAAAGTGGTAGTGGAGTGGTAGTAGAAAAAATTGGTAGTAAGAATATCCTACCTTTTAAAGATAATATTCACTTAAAGATAAAACTGTACCTAAAATATTTTATATATATTGAAAAAAAGATTGGATATACTTATCACAAAAAAATTTATCACTCTTACAATCAATTTAATCACAGTTGATTTTCGTTAATTTAACGATTATAATTTATTAGAAATTAATAAATATGACACAATTTATTAATTTTCAATAAATTATAACGGTTAGATTGACAGAAATGAACTGTAGTTAAATTAATTGTAAGAGTAATAAATTTTTTTAGTGATAAGTTGACCTGTTCGCATTGAGAAATAGTTATCTTACGTTACACAAGATTATCTTATACAAATATACAAATATAAGATAGTGGGATTCGCATTTTTTTTTATTAAAAATAAATAATGAAGCTAGCTATTTTGCCTCTATTTTATAAGATAAAAACATCTCATATATTTGTTAAAATATTAATCCAAAAGTAAAAGAGAAAAGAAGAAGAAGAAGAAGAAGCAAACCCTGTGTTTCAGTGGTTAGGTTTTCTTTGAGCTAAGCACACGACACAAGCAGAGCTACTTCACTTCACTTCACATTCTATGGTTTTGGTTTCAAATTGACACGCATCTGCGAAGAAGGAGATAAACAATCCAACTAATTTGCAACCATGACGGGTACTCATCATTTTCAATCTTCTCCTCTTTTTTTCCCCATTTATTTTCACTTTATTCTATGGTTTTGGTTGCAAAATTTACAATTCAACTTATTTCCATTCAAACGTCGCTGTTTGATATTTTTCCATAGTGATGCGATTCTTCGCTGTTATTATTATTATTATTCATTTTCTGGCGATGTATGAAAAAATATGGAATGGATTTTGTTGATGATTGATTATGTTTAGACACTGCGAAATTCCCAATAGCATTACGACAACAGCGTTAAGCCTTCTTTCTTTCTTGCCATGACCATGTGTATTACACAGACTACATACAAGAACAAGATATGGAGATTGAAGCATTAGAAGCTATACTCATGGATGAGTTCAAAGGTTACTTTATGCCATTTAATATGTATTTTTATATATATATATATATATATATATATATATATATATATATATATATACTAACACACACATACTTGGCAGTTTACTTGTCATTTGTTTTTCTGACTGAGAAAAAGGGGTTAATTTTTCTGTTTGACATTTCATGGTAGAAATACACTCTGGTGAAAGTGGCCTAAGTACTTCCAACCGGTGTTTCCAAATAAAGGTCACTGCACAGGTAAAATTTCCTCCTTCTTTTAGTGCAGTTTCTAATGTTATACTTTTTTTTTTTTAATTTGTATTTGTATTTTTATATTTTTGAAGTCTGAAGACCTGGTTTATGACAGAATACAATGGTGTCAGTTTGATTCATGTAGTAGCCTGATTCATGTAGCCGACCCCACCTATTGGGAAAAGGCTCATGTTGTTGTTGTTGAAATGTATGGCATGGATAATCATTTACCCATGAAATCAGTTTGTGTTTGAGTTATGTTATTGAAATCGGTATCTTTTGATTAGTAGAGCAGAATTTACCTTTCTTTTCCGTATTTAACAAATTTTTTCTGTTACTTAAAATAAGAGCAGAACATTTTCCTGTTGCATGCAGTTTTCAGAAACTCGTTGAAATTGTTTGGAATTATATTGATGTTTTCATTTGGTAAAAAGTAAATTGTGGTGCACAATTTATTGGGGTTTCAGCTTTAGGAGATTGAGAAGTTTGATTTACTTGCATTACTTTTCTCTCTTCCTTTGGTTGATGCAATGTACTTAGGCAACTGAGACGTCTTTCCCATAAAATAAATTGGCAAAAAGTTACCCTTCTATTTATCTTTATTATGTTATACATGTGTACAGGATGATGAGCCAGATGGGTCAATTACTAATCCAGGTTATTTTCTTTTTCTTTCTAGTTGATTTTTTTTTTCTTTTCCTTTTGGCTTTCAGTTTTACGGAACATGTACCTTAGATTTTGAAATATCTTCTTGTTATTCTCCCTAAGATATGGCTTTAACTTTGGAGCTTTATTTACCAGCCTTTCTACATATAATCTTCTAATGCGTCATGTAAAAAAGATGTGGTTGATATTTTTGTTGCAGCTCAACTGGCTTTGATCTTCTCACACACAGAAAGATATCCCGATGAACCTCCACTTTTGAATGTGAAAAGGTTAGTATTGCTATTATTATTATCTAGTGTTAATTATTGTTTGTCTGTCCAGTTAATGTCAACTGTAGTACATTTTTTTTTTCTCATTTATTATACACTAACATTAAGATGCCTTTTACTATATTTCATCTATACTTAACAGTTTGCAAGGACTTGCTACTGAAGATTTAAGGACTTTGAAAGAAAAACTTCAACAAGAGGTGGTCTTTTATCGTGTAGTTTGCTGTTTAATGTTTGAGCTGATCTGGTCTTTGTGCTATTCTTGCACTGGTTGTCATCCACCTTTAAAGACTTCTTAATAGCCATTCTGAGTTTAATATGTTTCCAGTTGTTTTGTGTGCATTTTCATGGTGCACAATGGCTTATGGTTATGGTACTCAAAATATGTTGTGGATACTTGTCAGGTTATGGAAATTTTGATGCAAAACTTGTGTTCCACAGGCATCTGAAAATCTTGGTATGGCTATGATCTACACACTTGTTACCTCAGCTAAAGAGTGGTTGGCTGACCGGTTTGAAGACTCTGGCGGGAGTACTGAAGCAGATGAGGCAGCCAAAGAGGATGTAAGACTGTCTTCTATTTTATGAATTTTCTTTTGAATTTTTTGTTTGTTAAATGCTTAGTTCATTTTTAAGCATAAAATACTATAGATTTTATTTTATATTTTTGGTACTTTGTTAGTAAGCTGTGAAGCACAGATAAGTGCACATTTGGAACTTTTGGAATCACATAGTGTTCAATATGGATATGCATATTTCGATAGTATAGAGCTTTTTATTTGAAATAAGATAAATATAACTTCATATACAGCTTGGATGGCTTCATATGGCATGCTACTTAAGCTGATATGCCTAGGCTGTAAAAATCCTTGGAGGAGCTAGAATCAGGATAGTTACTAGATGTACTCACATCTTTTTCCTTCTCTGCTGCCTTGAATCCTTGATGCTATCTGTCCACCATGTTTTCCAATGCACTTGTGTTTACAGGCTGTTTCTTGGGCCCCTACTCTATCTTCAGAGTCACCATCAAGTTTCTAAGACATCAAACTTAGGGAGTGGCAATTTCTTCATTTCAATTGGTGGATTGATTGTATATAAACACGTCCCAATTGTGGATTGGAATGATGATTAAAGAAATTTGTGCATATTTAAAAAATAATTGTGATTCCATTAGAATTTTTTTGGGAGAATTCCAAATAACTCTTGTTATAAATCTTTTTACCATGAAGAAAAATAACCAATGTAAGTGGTTATTCTCTATAATATATTGGCTTAAATAGCTACTCTGAGTTGTTATTATTCCTAGATGGTAACTATTTTTTTTTTCAGACTTCCACTTTTGTAATTCTTACAGAAGTTCCCCCCTTATATTGCACATGTTAGCTGAGCATATAGACTATACATTCATTTTTATTTATAATTATTTGTTGTCTATTTTAGTATGTTTTGAAGGGTAATCATTTAGTTCTTAATAGTTGTATTAGTAAAGGTAGTAGTAGTGGTTTGTTTATGTCTTCTGATATTCGTACTCTGATTTCAACTTAAGATGAAGATGTATTTTCTTCCATAATATATTGTTTTTATGATTTTAAACATTTGCTTTTAAGTTTAAGTTGAAAAAGCTGCCTGACAAATTTTTGTCTTTCCAACATTCTTAGATAGTGGTACCCCACGGGGAACCAGTTACTGTTGACACATTTTTGGCATGGAGAGAAAGGTTTGAAGCTGAACTGGCACTGGAACGAGCCAAGTAAGCCCCTTAATATTTGCTCTTATACTATGGCACACATTTCTAATCTCTATATATTTACGATTTTGAAATACTAAGGTTTTCTATAGACTGATGAATCTTTTTCGTGCGACACCTGCTTATCAGTGGGGGTAGAGGTTTTAAAGGCATGTATGGCAAGGAGAAGACAGAAAAGAAAAGAGAGAAAAGGGGGGGAGGGGGATTGTAAATTTGTAATGTACCATGATGAGAAATAACAGAATAGAGTCGGTGATATTTATAAAGCATTTGTCAATCTCTTCCCAAATTCTTCTATTTCTAACTAGTTAACTATAATGTTTAATTGCCTGCAGTAACAACTTACCTTTTGATGCCAAAAAAAATTGTCCTTATTGCAGGCTAATGCCAGAGTCTGCGCTTTCAGCTCCCAAGGAAAAGAAGCTCAGTGGTAGACAGTGGTTTGAAAGTGGAAAAGCGGTACTTTGTTGTCCTTACAATAGCTATTCATACCTTGATGTCTTAAATTTTAATATTTCTGTATTAGAAATTCTACATTTCAAACAGATAATTTACTACTAACAATGAAAATATATGTTGAATCTAAATTATTTTATATTTGACTGTAAAGAACCCGCTACTAGGAATTAATAATTTCTAAGAAAGGGCCTGTGGGCTTTAAAATCTTAAAAAAAAAAAAAAAGGTCCTTGGTGCCTCCTAAATGAGACATTATAAATTGAGATAATTATTAGAAAAGAGACCTGTTGGCCATAAAATTTATCTCAAGTGGCCCATTAAACCACAAGTTCTCTCCGTAACAAGATTAACCACACTAGTGGTTAATGCGTTCTGGTTGTTGAATATGATTACCCACGGGTCCTTACAAATAAATCTCCCTTAAAACACTTCATAACAGAATTAACCATACTTTTGATTAATGGGTCCTCCTATTTCTTAAATATCATATCTACTGGTAACTTAAATAATTCTCCATTAAATTTTATGAATATATAAACAATACCAGCAATTTTTGTATGTTTACAGAAAGGTGCAGCTACTGTCCCTGAGGAATTAGATGAGGAGGATGAGGATGATATTGACTTTGATGATGATGACTTGGAAGGTAGCTCTCTCTCTCTCTCTATATATATATATATATATATGATTGATGTGCAGTTTCTTAGAAATAAATGCTTTCTTATTTTGTCTAGTAAGTTTATTATAATTTATAATGATAAAATTACATTTCTTATCTGTGTCATTGCAGTTGATGAAGAGGATATGCTTGAGCATTATCTGGCTGAAAAATCTGATTCATCTACACACTCTTCCAGGAGGGCTAGTTAAATTGCATATGCAGCATTATCGGGCAGTGTTTTACAGTTTGCCTTGCTGATTTTGCGGAGGTTCTGCCATCCTTCTAGGACACCGGAGGATTTGGTTTTTTGATATTATCTAGGGAAAATGAGTATTGAGCAGAAGTGTTTCATATGTGACATTGTCTTTCACTTAAAGCGCCGTTTGATGTGAGAGAGATATTTTTTGTCTGTAGTCGACAGCCATGTGTTGTATGAAAGCAACAACTTATGGACAAACAACTATTCAACTCAATATAAAGCACAAGAAATAAGATGCATTTGTTTTATTGTGAATGTGTGTGTATCAATGCAAAAGTATCCTCTAAGGAACTAAGAATCCTCATCTGCCCTTTTTATCTCCTTTCAAATCGAGTATCAAGATGTCTGAATTTGGATTCTTTCAACTTTGGAGATAGACAGCTCGAGTCTTAAAAAATTTAACTTCTGTTTCCCATTTCTTCTCTTACTGGTGTGGGGTTATACGCATGATGAATGAAATACCAAATTCTTGACCAGTCTGGTTGACAAGAATAAAACAAGGGCACCTTTGAATGATTTTTCTTCTTCTAAAAGTTATTTTTTTTTCAGAAAAAAAAAAAATATTTCTCAGAAAAAATCTGTTTAAATGCCTGCTTTTAAAAAGAGTATCATAAAAAAAGTTAATTTTTTTTTTAGAAGCTAAAAAGCAGAAGTCAAAAGTTAATATTTAAAAAAATATTTAAATAACTTTATTTTTTTTTTTATAAAAACCACTTCTAAAATAAGTAAGATATAAAAAATATTTTTTTTGGAATCCCATCCAAACGGGTTATTATTTAGCAACCACTTTGTAAACGACAATCCATTTAGCTCAAGGAGTCAAGGCCATACTACCCATCGCCTCCTTTTTTTTGGCATTAAAGGTGCAAGGTCTGAAGCATAATATAGGTAATTGGCCAAAAGATTGAACTTGCAAGGTGTGGCCCACTGAGCTCTATATTAGCAGACTTGCAACGAGGAGTTTAAAATTTACTTGAAGTGTCTTATGCTAAACATAATTAAATTTATTGTTATATATAGTTATCTACTTTATTTTGTGTGTCATTCATATTTATTATCTCCAAGACTCCCAACTTTACAGCCCATAGGCATAGCCTTTAGCTGTTTATCATGGTAATAATAAAGGGTAAAGGGTTGGATGTCGCAAAGCTCAAAAGGTTTTTCACCATCTTTCAAATGCATGCAGTTCACATGCAATGAATTCAATGACTATAGTTATGTACTTTATTTTGTTTGCGTCATAGTCATAGCCTTTATCTGTTTATCATGGCAATAATAAAAGGTTGCATATCGTAGAGCTCAAAGGGTATTTTAATTTTTTTTTTTTATAAATCACATATATCTTTTACGAGAGATAATTCTGCTCGGGGTGAGTTCAAGATTAAGATTTTAAAACCTTCTTAAAGATGATAGTGGAGAAGATCCAACACATACTCTTACATCCACATGCTTAGTTTTCATACGCCAACTGAATTACCATCAATTGATAAATTTTCCATTTTTGGTTACCGAAAGGTTGAGATTACTTTGTTACCCACATTTTATTCCAAGAGTACAAACATCTAAGGTAAATTTTTCATACGCCAACTGAATTACCATCAATTGATAAATTTTCCATTTTTGGTTACTGAAAGGTTGAGATTACTTTCTTACCCACATTTTATTCCAAGCGTACAAAACATCTAAGGTAAATTTTCAATCAATTGTTAATTATATTTAATAAATTTTTTAAAATTTATAGTAAAACCAACAATTAACAGATATTTAACATTTTATCTCGGAAACGGTACTCATCTCAAAAGTTGGGAAGAAAAAGATGTTTTTTTAAAGTCAAAAATGCCAGAAGTTACTATCAGAAATATAAATTTTATAGATTATCTACCAAGAGAAAAAATTTAAAACGAATTTTAAAGAGTACCTACCAAAAACAATTGCTAACAACAGGCATAGAACCAGTGCTCTAACGAGCTAATCAATCCGCATTAACTATGGATATAAACAATTTTTTTATGTATGCATAGAAAGAATTTCTAGACAAAAAATATATATTTGATAACCTAATTTAATTTTATACCCAAATAGAAATAGATTGTGTATTTAATAAATAATATTTTTAATAAATATAATATATTAATGCTAATAACATATTCTACAATATATGTATTTAAAAGTGTGCTAAGAAACAAAAAGTAAAAAAAAATCGTATTTGTATCGATTCATTCTCTGAAATAAAAATAAATCAATTTTATCAATTGTTATTTCTAACAATTTATGTTCCTTAGACTTAAAATGAAGAAAAAAATATTTTTAGAAACGTTATACACACTCTTAAATTAATAACATGATTGGTCACTTTTCAAATTCAATATGTTATCCCCAAAGATCGTAGGGAGGAAGACTTTTAAACAATAAACATATTGAATGCTAATCTTTTTATTTGTAATCTCAACATTCAAATATTTTTCAAGTTTGAAACAAGCATCAAATAATAAGCCAAGGACAATTTTCATTTTTCTTGGCAATAATACACATACCCTTTCTGTTGTACAACTAAAATTTGTCCTCTAAATCTTATCATCCTTTTCTAAGTCTAATTTTTTTTTTTACAAGGAAATATGCTTTCTCAATATCGTGACATACTGTCATTAAAACTGCAATATCAGCATTGATCATTAAGTGCATGCAGTCCCACCATAAGAATAAACATCAGCATTGGGATGAGTATTCAAGGTTTTGCAATATCAACTTCTATACACAGCCTTGATCAGTCATGGCTTGAGCAATGGTTAGAAATGCAGAGATGACTGCTCCATGTACCAGAGCCCTGACATACATAACAAGCATACAAATATTAACCAACCAGGGCTGCATACTTGGAATAAAGGAACCATCCACTCCAAACTCCAAAGATGAAGGATCATTCAAACAAAACCATTACTGGAGAACTAAACCCACAATATAGTTAGTTATATGATTCCAAAAATATCAAGTATCTTTTACCCAAGAAGAATTTATTACAAACTAGTTTGAATTGTGTTTTTAAAAACAGTTTTTTGATTTTTAGATCAAATGTTTAATAAAGCCTATTTTGTAAAAATAGTTCTAAAAATTATAACTGTTTTTTAGTTTTTAGAATCAAATTTAAAGAACATATCTGGGTTGTTGTTGTATTGTGTTTTGATTTTTAACTTTCAAAACAAAAACAGAAAACACAGAAAACACCTATTTTATTAACTATTCTACAAAATAGTTTTAAGAACAAAAAACATAGAACACAATCAAAAACATATATTACTGCAATTTGCCTTACAATATGAAAAATTGGGAGGGGCAATGTTGTAATTTCCTAGGTCTTCATCTATTTACTTTGGTTGGTCAGTTCACATTGATCACAAAGAAAAGGTGACACAGGTCAAAAAATTGAGGGGGGAAGGAAGAAGATTCTTCCACTTAAAGTCATCATTATAAGGGGTTTGGAAGCAGGATTTCTTTATTGGGTAGTGATGGAAATGAAGAAACTTCAAATACCCCATTTCCAATGACTAGTTTATACAAGAACGCTTTTTATTTTGGATAAAAATTAATACAAGGATGGTTCATACAGGTATTTTAATTTTTTTGTTGATAAAAAAAATTGCATCTCACAAATGGCATCTTGTTCATAGATAAATAAACCTCGTCACTTATCTTCTTAATAAAATATATAGCTGATGAACAGCTTTACAAGAAAATAGTGGTATGATTTTCATTGCTATTGTTCATATCAGTATCAGGAATACATTATCACTATAATTCTTCTAAATTAGCATATTCAATACTCAGAACATCAAGATGAAAATCATATATTTTGTTCTGTGGGAGGAAAGAAAATTGAGAAAGGGAAAAAATAAAGAACTAATCAATTAGGATGTCTACTGGTAAGTAAAGCATATAAAGTAAGTAGCTTTATCTATATCGTTATGTTACACAAGAAAGCACTTACTCAGGGCTTTCTTTTTGATAACCAAAATCAGTTGCGGCTTTCATAGCTCTCTGATAAGTCTGCTTCATTGCTTCCTGCCAAAAGAATTAAACAGTATACAACTGATGCTTACCAAAGTGTGAAAGAGTAAAAATTAAACAAGAGTAACTCAATTTCCACATCAGCTAGCCAACCCGAGAAAAATAACCAATAAAACACATGAAAAAAAAAAAAAAAACAGCTTTTGGAAACTACAATTTCATTTTCTTTTTTTTCAAAATAACATGGAAGAATATGAGTTTCATACAATTTGAATAGGAAAAAGAGTTAAAAGAAGATTATGTATCACTTGATGACCACAAACCTACAAACATTTACAATTCTTCAAAGGCAAACTAAATGATTTGTTAGAACAATTGATTTGAAAGAACTGTAAAGAACCTTGGGATACACCACCCCAAAAGCTAGCTCAAAGGGTGGGAGTGTCCAAGTCCTTATAAACTCCACATTAGTTGCTCATACAACCAATGTGGGACTATATATCTCAACACGCCCCCTCACACGAGAGCCCATTGGGCTTGAAGAGTGGAAGATGCAACAGGCCCAGCCTACCTGTGCTAAGAAAGTCCACAAGAGAAAGTGGGGGGCGGCGAGGCTCTGATACCATGTAAAGAACCTTGGGATAAGAACTACCTGCAATTTGGATTCAAAATCCTCCGGTGACCAGTGCATCAAACTGCATTCATGATTCAATTCAAGTTCTCCAGCCACAACCTGCAAGCAAGGCGAACGAAAAATTAAAGAAAGGTCCATCCAAATGTCATGTCTAATATTGATGTCAAATCTGCCAGCCACGATCATTGATGTAGTTTTTGTTTAGGTTAAGGTGAGACTATGTGTGCATATACATACGAAAAATAAAGTAAACATCTCACCCCTCCAGCACCAGCAGCCATTGCAGGAGCAACGAAAACACTAGCTTTCCTCAGAACCTGAACTGCCTCAGGGGTACAGGGCATGTTTGAGCCTAGGATTCAAATAATAACAAGTAGCTTCCGTTAGTATGTATGAGTAAGAAGAGGAAAAATGTTACATATTGCATCTTACTAGAACAACTACCTTCTACTAGTATACGACAACCTGAATTAACCAAATTAATGGCATCAGATTGATCAATTTCATTCTGTGAAGCACAAGCAAATGCAAGATCACACCTTTCATTCCAGGGTTTTGCTTCATCATAAAATTTGGACCGAGCATAGGTCTTTGAATAGTCTCTACATATGCCAATTTATGAACAAGGACCCTTAAATTATAAATAATTGCAAGCATGAAGAAAAAACAAATGACAGAAGTGATACAAACCGCAAACTTCTCTGTTGAGCTTTGATGTCTCTCAAAAATGATATTTTCATGTAGTCAAATCCATCCTCATCAACCAAATATCCTCTAGAATCTGACAAATGCTTTTGTTAAAAACTGCATAGTCCTTGAAAAGACCAGGGTACATAAAAGGACCTCAAAATGTTATGAAAATCCTAGATTTAATTACTAGTATTCTTAACGATGATTAATATTACGATGAAATCCAACATGCAACGATGAAGCACAGACTTTCATTCTTGTTAGAATAAAAGAATACACAACATCGTAGCAGATGAAGTAGCCTCTCTATATTCATAAAAAACCAAAATTACCTGATACTGAAATGGGAACAGCACCATAAGCAATTAGCTTCTCTAAAACATGCATCGCAATCTTTCCAGAACCACTGACAACACATCTACAGGAAATTATAAATCAGAAGAGTATTCCAGGATCAAAAGTGTGAGACACCAATTTAGGAAGCAGCACATTTCACACTGGATAATTGATTTGAAAAAAATCTAAAAAGATTAACAAATTTTTTTATTGAAAATAGGAGCTTCCAAGCTTCGGATATTAATAGAATTATGAATTCAAGAAAAAATAATCAAATTGAAAAGAAAAGTTTAATGGGCATGTTGGCCTTTATATGTACCAAAAAAAGAAAAGAAAAGTTTAAAACCCTCGTAGGAATATCTAATAGCAAGAAATGAAGGTTGCAGCAATAATAAATGAGCCAGTAGCAACAAACTTTATAAAATGGTCTAAATTAAAATAAAAACCTTAATCCCTTGAGTTCTTTGTTCATGTCCGCAAGCATGAGCTGGGCAAAGAAAACCTGCAGATTCATGACAAACTTGTTAAATTTAATAACTTGAAACAATAGATACAGAGAATAATGCTTAAGAGATTGCTCTTTTTCTTTTTCTTTTTTATTTTTTTTTTAAAAAAAAGGCATGCACAGTAAATCAATAGGACATGCCATAAAAGGATATCTTGTTGAGCACAATTAGTACATAGTCACTCATATTTTCACATCTCACCATACATCCAGAGAGAGAGTAAGAATCAAAATTTGAAATTACCAGCCCATAGCCAGTAGCTTCAGGTCGGAGACTGGAGCCAGACCAAAATATCCTTGGCCCTGTAAAACTTCCCTGCATAAGTAAGGCATAAATATGAAAATACCCAACACAAAGGGGGGAAAAAAACTAGTTTTCCTTTCTTGGTTTGTAAATGTTAGAGAATAATATAAACCATTAAAAAGGTCATCACCCAACACCTTAAGGTTTTGGATTAAAGTGGTTCTTTACATGGTATCAGAACTTCAGTGACCACAAGGTCACAAGTTCAATCCTCACCGCCCCCCACTTTCTAGTAGGGGGTATATTAGATAATAATATACCAAAAATTGGGCCTGTGTAATATCCACGCTTCAAGCCCAAAGGACTCTTGTGTGAGGGGGTATATTAGATAATAATATAAACTATTAAAAAAGCGATCACCCAACACATTGAAGTTTTGGGTTGAAGTGGTTCTTTACAGTAAACATATGATTCCTCCAAGTTTGCACATACATAATCGTTTTTTCTTTGGCCATTGGGCTTTATTCTATTCATGTTTTAATATAACGAGCATCAAGCACATAAAATTCCGATCTGAGGAATAAAAGTACAGGAGGAAAACACATAATAAAAAAAATGATAATTCCACCAAACAGTTAGTTAGGATTTAAGAATGTTTGAATTACCTGATAATGACCAGCTAGATGTCGATACTGTCCAAAAAGATACCCCATTTCTCGAGTACCAACGCCCATTTCCTCTGATGGAAGGTCCTAATATACATTCATTACAAGAATAATATGTAGCACAGACCTTGAATGTGAATAGGTTAAATGATACAGAAAAAGAATCTACTTTCAGTTACCTTGTCAGGACCCAAGTACCGATACAGCTCACTCATGAAACTTTGGCAAAATCGCATAATCTGCCAGCTTATCAAAGTAACATTTAGCAATTATAATACTACTCAAGCAGAGAGTGAATAAGTTGAACGTTCACCTCATTATCACTTTTTCCTTTTGGATCAAGATCACTTCCACCAGCTGCTCCTCCTAATTTGTATGGTGATAAAGCATTCTTTAAAGTCTGCAGAGAAGGAAGTGTGTTGTATAAAGTGGTCCAATACAGAAACGCAGCTTGCAATCTAGATTCTTAACTTTTGTTGATATGTGAACCTCATGTTTGTCAAATATCAACAAATAAAGCCTTAGATAAACATCCTCACTCAACCAAGACCAAGACCTTATACTAGTATAATTAGTATTTTGAGTAAATACAGGTTTTCCGACCGAATTATTATATTTCCTGATTAAAAGTAGGTAGACCAGACCACACAAGATCTAAGCATGTTAAAAACATTTTAAAGATTTCAATGATCTTTATTTTAGGAATTTTTTTGGCAATATGGCATTGAATATTGAGGTTCACAATTTTACCATGATAGGCAAATAAGAACTTCGAAAAAAATTCTTATCAAATATGTATACACATGCATGCATACACGGTGTGTGTGTGTGTAAAATATATGTAAGAAAAAAAAATATGCGTCTTATGTTTTTATAATAGGTATCCACTACCGCCTTAAAAATCTGTTGTGTTCTAAGATATCCACATTCCAAGAGCCCCCCAAGAGAATATTTGGAAGAACTCCAACTTGCTAAAAGAGAAGATAGAACCTCATGCATAGATTGTAAAGTCTACCTTGGAGTATGTGTAGCTACGCAACAAAGTTGGTGGTTTTAGAGGTTCAATTAAACAAAGTTCTCTGTAAATCAATTTGAATTTATGTCGAAAAAATGTACCATGGAGGCTATTTTCTTGATAATACAATTAATGGAAAAATATCGAGAAAAGAAAAAGGACCGACATAAGGTGTTTATTGATCTCGAGAAAGGGTATGATAGGTGTTATAAAATAATATAAACCATTAAAAAGGCCCTCACCCAAAACCTTAAGGTTTAGGTTTTGGGAAGTGATTCTTTACATGGTATCAGACCTTCAGTGACCACAAGGTCACGAGTTCGATCCTCATCACCCCCCACTTTTTAGTGGAATTAAATAAGCATAAGGTAAAATCATAAAAAAAAGGCTCTATGGCGGGTTCTAAGAAATGTTCTATGGCAGGTTCTTGAGAAAAAAAGTAACATCAAAGTATGTAGAGACAATCAATGATATGTATGACGGTGCTACTACATGCGTGAAAGCTTGTAATGGAATATCAGATTATTTTTCTACCACGGTAGGTGTATGCCAAGGCTCTGCATTTAGTCTTTATCCTTTTGTTTCTAGTTATGGATGAATTAACAAAAGATATCCAAGACGAAGTTTCATGGTGCATGTTATTTGCAGATGATATTGTGCTTATTGATGAGACTAAGACTGATGTTAATAAAAAAACTAAAACTGTGGAGAAACACGTTGGAGTCTAAAGGATTCTGTCCATTTGCTTGGACATGAGGTACTCAAGAAATATGCTTTTAGATTTTTGGGATCTATTTTGCAAAATGGTGAAGAGATTGATGAGAATGTAAATCATAGAATTAGAGCAAATTGGATGAAATGACGCAAAGCATCAGGGTTTTTGTTTGATCACAAAATTCCTTTGATGCTAAAAGGAAAGTTTTATTGAACAACAGTAAGACATGCAATGTTATATGAAGCTGAATATTGGCCGGCACATAAGCAATATGAACATAAAATGGGAATAGGGGAAATGAAAATGTTAAGGTGGATGTATGGCCATTCAAGGATGGATAAGATAAGAAATAAAGATATTCGACGAAAGGTAGGAGTAGTACCGATGGCTGAAAAGATGAGAGAACATAAATTGAGATGTTTTGGGCATATAACGCGAAGACCCCTAGATGCTACCGGGAGAACAAAAGTTTATTACCAAGAATTTAACACAAAGAAAGAAGAGATCAACCGAAACTTACTTAGGGAAAAGTAGTAAAATAAGATTCGCGGATGGTTTGTCTTAGGACGAATTGGAGGAAAGCTATTCCTATGTTTCAAAGAGTCCCTATTTCATCATTTTCCCATATATTTCCCCTCCATTTCTTTATTTAGCTATATAATTTATTTCCTCCCTATTTTATTTATCTATTTTTATTTTTACTAATTTTTTCTATTTTCCTCTTATCTATCTTTATTTTCACTTTATTATTATTTTTATTTAAGTTTTAGTTTTCAATTTTTATTATTTTTTATTTTTTTATGGGTTTTATTATTCTCCTTCTACATAAGATAGGTATCTTATGTTGTAGAGAGAAAATGGGTGGGCTCCACCATTACAAGAAAAAAAAAAAAAGATGAGGTGCGAAAATCGAAGTGAGAGAGTAGGAGAGAAGTAATCTTATGTAAAAGGAGAGTAATATTTTCCTTTTTTATTTATTTATATTTTCCTCTAATTTTTTCTTTCTTTTCATTTGGGTTCATCGACCACCGACCCCAACTAGTTTGGGATAAATATGTTGATAATATTATTGATGTTGATGTTGACACTTCTTCAATGCTATTGCCCATGTGTGTGAGCAAGCGCACATGTTTGAGTATTTATCTTCATATCTGTTCATCAGTTTATCCTTTCTTTAAAAACAGAATACACCCCGCTACATAACATTATCATTGACATTAAAAATAATAATAAAACAAAAAGGTGGGTTCTACTATTCTGGGGATAACAAGTAAAAATTAAGAGTATAACATACACCCCAAATGTAAGGGGTGTAATTATTTAGTTTACCACACACAAAAAAAGAACATAAAAAAAGCAAGAAAATCTCTCACACATGCTGCACATTCTTGTGGTTGAAAAAATGAGACCATAGACCTCTAAGTGATGGACAAAAAAAGAGATTATATCAAAATAAGCTAAGTTCTGAAAGAGCTACATCATTAGTTGTAGGAGAAAACGTCATACATTAATACCAAAAATACCCATAATACCTGTTCAAAACCAAGGAACTTGGCAATACTTAAATTCATTGATGGATGAAAACGAATACCACCCCTACATGGACCCATCGACTGGTTAAATTGTACACGAAAGCCCCGATTAACATGCATCTCACCCCTATCATCCACCCATGGAACTCGAAAAATAATCACTCGTTCAGGTTCCAACAAGCGTTCCATGATGTTAACATAACTGAAACATGAGAATATTAATAAGATGCATGCATCCAATACTAACGCATTAGCTTTGTCAACTGTAGATAGATAAATAAATTATAACCCTTTGAATAAAAACTCACTGAAAATTTTTTGCTATGACTCTCTCAAGAGCCTGAACTGCCTCCTGGACTGCTTGAATGAATTCAGCCTCATGAGGATCCCTTTTTAGTGTAGCTTCAAGAATTGATCCCGCTGTTTTTGACATAGCAGCTTCAATCATAGAATTGTCAGAAAGAATGTAAGTATTTTTTATAAGAATGATAAAGAAAATAAAGGAAAGTGATTGAAAATGTGAGAAAGGAGAAAGAGAGAGAACAAGAGAGTCTTGAGAGGTTTCTTTGAAATCTGATATTATTGAATCCGAATTACTCTAATCAAGGAGTAATCTATTTATAGTATACAGGGAAGCTTGCACAGCAAGCTTGGAGTACTGAGATGTAAAATAAGATCAGTTACACCTTATCAAAACTAGCATAACAACCTGAACTAATCTGCTAACTGTCTAACTCACTGTAACTAACTACTGGTGTAATATAATCCTATAGGCTCGGTTCCAGTGGATACCAGCCACCTACTAATAGAACTCAGAAGATACAGATACATATGTGAATAAAACATTAGAGAAAATACATTCTCCTATAAACAGAAGAATTCTTATCACTTCCACATGATTATTTAGCGTGGAAATAATGGAATCAGAACTTTCCAAGCGCGAGAAAACGAGAGAAAGTACATCGAGAGAAAACAAAATTCCTCTGAATTGTTCAGAGTGTAAACTAAATTTTGCAAGAAAACTAAATTTTGCAAATTGGCCATTAAACAAGGGGAGGGAACAAGTTAGTACAACAGAAAGAGGGAACAAAGAAAAAATGGTCGTATGCTATAGCATGCTCTCAAATCCCTAAAGTAATTTAATCTCCAAAAGAAGAAATAATGCAGTAATTTTTAATCTAATAACTTGTTTGCACTTCATACTACACAAAGGATCCGTTGAAATGTTGAATGCAGCAGTGAAGCATATCCCTATTATCCGATATAATTGATCAAATGCATCTTTTTTTCTAAACAATATAGTTTGTTGTGAACTTATGACCACTAATTAAAATGATATGAGCAATTGATTCAAGTATTAGAAAACACAGTATACAACCATCAACATTTTCAAATAAACTGAAAATACTATAGCATTCTGAGATGGCCAACCTTTTACATAAATGGGCTTGTCAACTGTAATTTTATCTTTGGAGGCCATTTGAAGACGAAGAGCCTCTTTGTGAAGCAAACTATTATTGTGTTCTTCAAGGGCACTCATCTGCATATTTCTACTGCCCTCATTCCCATAAGGATTTCTTCTATGCTTCCGGCCATACTCCCTGCAGACCGAGCAGAAAATCCTCGGCGTCCCATCTTTAACATCAACATAAGCCCATTTGTAGGTGTCTGCCCATTCCTCTCTCCATCTTTTAACAACCTTCTTCTTCCTTTTCATTGGCTGGGACTTAGACATATCTTGAGCATCATTAGGAAGCTGAGAAACCATCCCCATCTGCTTGCTCTCACCATGCTCTTCTGCGGAAGATTCACGCAACGGCGCACCAATTAGAGTAGTGTTACCAAATGAAGGATCATCATCCCCAGGTCCAATTTCTAAATCAATTTCTTCACCAATGTCCCTCACAACTAAGTGATGTCTCTGTGCTTGCTGAATCAAATTCATATCATCCATTGCGGAATTCATCCCTACTCCACTGGTTGGCAGCAACATTCAGCATGACAGCCCTCTCCACAAATCTAAAATGCTTTGCTTTCTGTCAAGACAAACACACCAAATCACCAATTTTCATATCTGAGAGCTAATGGAACAAACAATCAAAACTCATTTACATAATGATCGCAGAAAGGGAAAAGTTACTGTATGACAGACTCTAGTAGAAATCATAACAGTGGCATTATGTAGGCCAGTCTTCAGTTCTTCAAAACCACAATAAACAAAATATATCCCAAATACTAATGTCATTTCTAGTGCTCAGACAACATTGTCATTGAACAAAATCCCTCAACCCCAGATTTAGCAAGTAACCATTTGAATTGACAATCATTTGCAGCGGAAAAATTCAGAATCTTCACAATACACAAAGCTAGAGTCCCCAAACTCAATAAATGATGGAGAAAAAAGGTGGTTTTTTTTTGGCCAACGACCCACAAATTATAATAAAAAATTTAGAAACACCCAGAACTTGAATTTCATGGCCGAGCTCAAATACCTTGAGGATTTGAATGAAAGTGATAAACTTGGAAAGGGGAATTTTTGAACATCTCTCTATATAACTTAGTCTCTCCTCCTCGGAGTGAGATCAAAGAGGGGAGATTGCAGCTGTGAAAGGAAAAAAGGTTGAAACTTTAATTTGAATTGGAGGTTAGTGAGTGTTGGGGTGGTGCTGAGTCCTGATTGGAACAAAACAAAGTTCGTGAATTTAATGATTCTTTCTGGGACTTAACCTCTGTTTGTTTTGGTTTGTCCGAAATTGAAAGTGGTAGAGATGAGAGGAGTGAAGAGTGACGAGGAAGAACATATCATCATGTATGTGATGAGTGATGTGATGTGATGTTGATTGTGATCATCAAAATCAAAACCAAATCAATTGGCAAACCAAACACTCTTTGCATTAAGCGTATATGAATGGAGGAAGAAAAAAAAACATTTTCTATGATTTTATTTTGTTTTATTTTTTTATTTATTTTTTTATAAACATTTTGTTTTATTTTTTAACTATTATATTATGCACGAGAAAAAAAATCGATCAATTTGTCAAAAAAAAGTTTGTCGAACTGGATATAAATTATGTAAATGGCCAATAAAAAAGAAGAATATGCATTTAAAAAATATTTAATTTGGTTGATAATTTTTTATTATTATTATGATTATAATACTTGAAAATTCTTCAAATGTAGCTTTTGTAATTTTGTTGTTGTCTTATACTAATAACGAGATTATAAAGAAAATTTGTCACCCAAGTGTATCCAAAATAAAATTGAACCAGAGACAAGAATTATTTTAGTATACTAAATATATATTAATTTTAAATGATATTTTAGGTCATAGCCAAATAAATAAATAAATAGAAAATAGCATTTTAGGTTAATCCTTTTTCAAAGAAACTCCCATAAAGCTTTACTTTTGTCTCTTGGGTGTTGCCAAAATTATACTTATTTATTGATGACTAAAGTTTGAATGAATGACCTTGGATTGGCCCGATTAACATTATAAATTGTGGCGTTAACATCATTAAAACATGGAGTAGAATCTGGCACCATCTTGGAAATTAAAATTTAAATGGGATCCTAAAGTTTTGCTCATCAAATTATTTTATTTAATATATTAATTAAATAACTATTGAATTAATTTAATCAATAATATACATAATTATTAGTTAAATCAAATTAATCATTATTATTTATTTTTACAAAGTCTCTTCACATCAATTAATTATCACAAGAAAAAGATTTGTAGGCTAACTTCCCAACTTCAATATTCGTGTGGTACATATTCCTTCATTAAAAAGTAAAAATAATAAAACTCATATGACATTAACTATAGGTAACTAAAATAAATGTAATAAAATAGCTTTTTTTTTTTAGCTTTAATAAATAATTCACTGGTAAGTAGAATAAATGTAGTTACAATAGTACTTTAGAAATTTTTATGTACCTGGTAAGTATTACTATTTAGTTATAGGGCGTAGCGTAGGGGCATAGCCCATTCTTGGCACTTCATAAATGATAGTACAAGTGCTTTCTTACAAACTCTACCCCAATATTGGAGAGGTGTCTTCACTGCTAAGCAAAGCCTTTTAACCACTTAAATTAACATATGAACTGAAATAATAATAATGATAAAAAAACACACAGAATGAAATCATATTATTATATAGTTCAATTATGTTATACAATGAAGTAGAAAACTTCTTGATGAGACAAATGAATCATTCTCCCATTGGAATTTCTTCATCTTCAAATTGCACCCGTTTTTGTTACTGACAGTTCCAATCTTTCTTTCCTTGCTCTATTTGTTACCAATTATCTTATAATCACCATGTGACCAAGGACAGCAAAAGTTAGTCGAAGCTTGATGCTTTATTTCTATTCATTTCTTTGGCTTATAAACTTAAAATGCCAATTCTCAAAGTTCTCTAGGACTTTTAAAACTGAAGCAAGCTGAACTTGTTCAAAGAGATAAAATAAAAATACAATTTATGGGGACATGGAAACAAAATGAAGGTCAGGCTAAACCAAAAAAAAAAAATGCCAGACCTATGCACAAAAGCATTATCCAAAAATTTAAATTTTTGTACAAATGTACGGCTCTACCAAGAATTGTATTAAATGCTAGAGAATATCCAATGAACATAATAAATCATCCACTCAACTTTGCTTCATGCATCACCCAAAAGTTCTCAAGCTTGATAAACAGACTGCAATCTACACAAGAAATCATCTAATCTTGTTTTTTCTCTTAATTATTAGTGTGTCCAAAGTCTTTGATCCTTCGTTTAAGATGCTGCAAGAAGTAGGAAAAAGAAGCATGAATTATTAAAATAATAATAATAATAAAAGGTTCATTATTCAATAAAAAAGTTTCCAGATCAAGCTTCTAGAATGATTAAATAATTACCTCCAGTTCCTTGTGAAGCACAATAAATATTTTCTTCAGTCTCTTATGTCTCTGCAATTCACATCATGCCCACATATTTAGAAGATAGATACTAAATACAAGGATAAATTTACAATTTAGGTGCCACATGAAGCACTTGAGAAAAGATTAAAAAAAATCTCCAATATCCAAAATACAAAATCCAAATAAAAAATTGTATCAGTAAATTGTTTAAACTCAACCAAATTTGCATCAAGTTAAACTAGACAATTATCAGTCAATTACCATTGCTGACAATGCTATAACAGGTTGCTATTTAAGACAATAAGATGAACCAGTTTAAGGCATCCACATGACTCAAAACTAGAGTATTAATTTTTTTATCATGCACATGCACTATCAATAAACATAAATTCTTTACTGCTACCAATTTATGGTAGAACTTAAGTGAACGATGTTAAAAAGATTTTATATGTCTTACTCATACATGTTATTTAGACAGTACAAGTATTTTTAAAGTTTACATCCAAAATAGAAAGGTAAATGGATGAGATTAAATAAAAGGGGCTTTAAGTACAAGTAAAATTTTGAGAAACAGTTGACTGCAGAACAAGAATACACGAAAACATGTTTTGTCCCAACATTTGAGCTCCATACAATTATACAAATACTGCATGCATTGGCGGAGCCAAATAAAACATACCGTTCCACAACGTCCATAGGATTCCTTCAGCTGCCCCAAGATGTCATAATATCTATCCGTATCCCTGGCTTTAGCATATGCTAAATCCTCGCCTAGTTTCTGAAAATCACTCCTACAAATTATGGGCGAGATGTAAGACACAACATCAGACAAGTAATATAAATAAACATCTAACAGAAATGCACTGAAGCCTTGAATTGTAAGACTGCTTACCTGTAACTCTCTAAAATCTTGTTCAAGGAGCTATAACTTTCATATTTATCACAATACTCCTGAACATATTCTTTATATCTAGCATTGCGTAAGACACACATATCAGATGCTAAAAAAATCAAGTGGTTAACTCAAAAGAAGAACCCTACCACAACAACAATAATAAAAGAAAAATAAAGAATAACTGCTTACTCGGAAAAGGTCCTAACAGGTCCCTTCAAGTCAGGTTCATCCTTTTCGTATTTTGAATAAGAGCAACTATTTTCATCTGAAGACGATTCTCTCTTCTTTTGATCGCTATTATTTCTATCTGGAAACACTGAATCCTTTCCTCCATCAGCCATCTCTTCCAATGAATTAGGTGTCTGTCTTTTACTTTCTTTCACAGGGTAGGAAACTATTCCACGTGTAGTGTCTTGCTGTTTAGATGCATTTCCAGGTGCTCTTCTATTGCTTTCACCGCGACCTTCCAAATAAACATCTTGGCTCACCCCAGATTCATTATTTCTGAATTTACTACTCATTTCTTCCAATTTGTTTTGAGATCCAACTTCCACTGGATCTACTTTCACATGTTGTGAATGAGCCTGCAGAACTCTAGAACGAGACCATGTTGAGTCTTCAAAATTATTATCTGAGTTCTTTCTATTCATGTTTTCCAAATTGCTGGGAAAACCAGAACTTACAAAGGCTGAGGATGGCTTTCCTGCATCTAAAGTTGCTTTCAATGAAGGTTTTACTTTAGTAATATCTGAATTCCTGTCCTCTGAAGCGTTTGCTTTGTTTTCCAAATGTTTAAATGAACCTTTTCTATCAAATTGCTTTGAGGCTTGGGTTTCGTCCGGAGTAGACTCACGAAGTTCACCCAACTCCAAGTCTGAAAGCTCTCTTTGAAGAGTGATACCTCGCCCATTAATTGCAGGGGATTTATCAAGACCAGCTCTGTTCTTGTCCTTAGGTGATGTTCCCAAGTGTGACTGAGTACCTTGCCGGCTGTCCTTTAACTTACCAACCATTTCACCTTGTTTTTTGTAATGAGAATCCATGGATAGTGAATGTTTACTTCCATTATTACCATTCCTGGAATTCCTGGGAACTTTTTTCTCAGTGGTATGAATATCATCATTTTGGGCATCTGTATGAGATTTCTCTCTCTGCACAGAAGAAACTTCACGCGCATGAAAGTCCTTTCCTGATTGTTTTCTGCTGTGCCTTATGCTTTCACCATGTTTATCTGATTTATCCCATGGGAAGGAAGGGTTTCCTAGAGAGGTTTGGTCAAAGGACCTTTGACCTGTTTGTGGTAAATCTGTAGTAGATTTTCCTGGAAATGCTCGATTGTATCCTTTCTGTGAACCAACACTGGAATTTCCTTGTCTATCAGCTCTATTCACCATTTGTATGGTTGGGACCTTGCAAGTGCCATCAATAAATTCGGCAGGAGACAAATTCAGAGAATTATCCAACATCTGCACATCCATACTAGGAGAAAATGGTTGGTGACTCAAGTTTCCAGCTTTCAACCTCTTTGTACGTTCAGATTTCTCATCAATGTTTTTCACATCAGAACCTCTCTTATGTTTACCTTTAGATAACCTATCAGAGCTATCAGACTGTTCGTGCCTAGAGCTATCTTTGACTTCATTTTCCTTTTCATCAAACAAACTTCCTATAATTTTTTGGCGCTCCTGGAGCTGTTGATAATCAGGTGAAAGAGGTTTTCTCTCTTCTGCACGTTTTTCATCTTTATCAGAAATTGTAGCCATAGTTGGGGCCTTTTCAGCTTCCTGTTCCTCAGGTAAGTCTTTTTCAATCTCAACTACATCAGATTCATTACCATCCTGCTTCTCATCACCATCAATCTGCATAGATCTTCCCTCCGGAGATTTTACTGGAATGGGATATGACACCCTTTGATCACAGGCTTCGGTTTTGTGCTTTGACTCTTTTTCATCATCACTAGTCATAATATCTACATCCTCATCAGAACCCTCCAGTCCCTCTTTGCTGCTGGAAGATGCATCACTTTCACTGTCACTACTACTCCCACTCCCTGTTCCAGCAGGACTTTTACTATGGCTTCCACTGTCACTTCCACTATCGCTGCTGTCACTTCCACTATCGCTGTCACTTCCACTATCACTAGAGCTGCCTGCCTGCCCTTCGCTGTGATCAGAAACTTTTTTGTCACCAAAGATATCAGGTGAATTATGTTGGGCATCAATTTTTTCCACTGTGTTTGATTCTTCTTCCACTTTGGATTTTACTAGCACCGGTTCCTCCATATTGTCATTTGGGACCATCTCTTTGAAGTCTCCCTGTGGAGCTGATGTCTGATCATGAAACTCTTCACGAGCAGGAATCTGGCTATGATTTCCATCAGGAGAACTGTACAAATAAGATAATACACCTTAAATGCATGAAGGGGCCCATAAAAGCGACACAGTTACAGTACTGGTATACAATGATATTGTTATGTGAAAATAACATGTACCTTCCAATTTCAGTCTGAGGTTTCTTGGAGCTTTCCAAATCCAGTACTGAATTCAAAATATACCTTCCCGGGGCCTGGTACGTTGCAATCTGATGCTCAACATTATACGAAAAATTAGATCACAGATTTATCATAAAACAATAATCTCAAAAGATTCCCACCACTTACTTTTTTTATAATGGGCTCAATTTTCTTCATCGAATTCGGAAGTGCGTCACCAACAGATTTCTCCAAGGCCTACGATCGAAGGGGGAGAACAGTTAAGAAGATTATATTGGGTTAATTAAAAAAGTCAGAGATATTAAAAACAAGCTTAAGGAGAACTACAAGATTTATACAACACCTTCAATGTCATTCCTTTAGGTTTATCCTTTAGAATAGAAATTAACATGTCCTGCAAATCTACTGGTTTAGATCCATTATTTCTTTTGCCTCCTGGTGTGTTCCTCATAGCATTGTTTTTCCTGGCAGAAATTTGTTTCTCGGAGACAACATTAGTATCTTGCTTGCCAGTCATTTGTGTCGGTGCAGCATCATCAACGCTCTTAGAGATATTTACAGCTTTCATGGGAGAGGATGAAGCAGCAAGAAGGTCTGGTGGAGACGGAAGAGGAGAAGGATGTCTGCCCTTGATAGTAGTACTTGTTGAATTCAATCCAGATCTATGGGAAGATTTTGGAGGGCCTCCAACTATAAAAAAGTTCCAGACATTACAGCTATAACATTTTATAGGAAAGGTTTCAATACTGCTAAGTGAGGTCATCTTAAGATTGATTGAAACCACTTTGGAAAGATGTAAATTTTAATCACCTTGAAGAGTTTCGACTTTCCTTTTCTTAAGTGCAGCTTCTTTCTTTTTATTGTAATTCTTCCACGGTGTAGCTGGACATGGGAAGTATAAGGCTCTTCAGTTAGATAGTTAAATATAAGCACTATTAAACCAAATACAGTAAAATGAGAAGGCCTTGGCAGAACATAATAGAGTGATGATAAGCAGATAACCATGCCCAATATCATCAAGAAATTTTTCAAGTTTCTCATTGATAAAAACTGGTTCAAGATTGAAAGGAGAACAAGAAAGAATTGGAATCTTATTGCTGTGATCTCTTCCTCAGGATCTGAATCAAGGTCCATAAGGTAGAGTGGTAAAATATCACAATGAAGGTTTTCACCTTGTTTCTCTCAACTCTAGGAGTTAGAGGAACCTGGCCTCTCTACGCAACTCATCTCATCAACTAACTACCCTCATTTACATTCTCTTTCTCTATTTATATCCTAGTTCTGTCACTGCAGTTAGAGGGCTAACTAACTCTAACAACTTCTCTAACAATTTCAACTAACAAATCCTAACTAATAGAGGCTGGCCCACTTGGTTCTGTGGGCCAGGCTTATTTCTTCTAAGTTATAACATATAGGCTCCTAATTGGGGGTTGCTACCTCTCATCCGAACGACATAATGAAATAGCAACTTGAAGTTTCCACACTTAAAAATTTGAGAAAAATTAATTATAAAGAACAAGAAGCAAAAGAAAAATTACCTTCAACAGCAGCTAATGCCTTTATCTGGCTCTTCATAGACGGGTTTCCAGGCTCTAAGACAATGGCTCTGTTGTAGAGAACATAAATAAATGATCATTGGCCATAAAAAGAAGAAAAAAGAGAGGAAGGGGGGGGTTGGGGTTGGGGGTGGGCGGAGATATCTGCACAACATAAACCATCACTGTATGGAAAGTAAAATAAGAAGAAAGATCATTGAGTTCCATGAAACCTGAGCAATATATTTAGCTAAGGAAAGATACAGATGAGTTAATTATCACTTTAACACCAGAAATAGAGTACATTCTGAATCAAAAAATTCAGTTACACTTACAGGCCAAAAGGCTGAACAAAAATCGTCAACAGTTCATTTACTTTTAAAAAACTAAAAAGTTAACTGCGTGTTACTGACATTGTATATTGTAATATTCACAGTAGTAAATCCATAACTCTTCTCAGTCAATATGAATCCACCAACCTATATACAAGTAATCTACATCTACTAAACAAGTTCCTTTTAATTACTAATCTAATATGTGACAGAATCCTGAAAGAAAAAGAAATCATTGCAACCATAGAAGAGACATATATCAAAACTTCACCACCAAGTGCTTCAGTAGTATTAACATAGTAGTTGCTTGAGATTTTTACATGCTTGTGTATATATTAATTGACTTTTGTGGCATACCTTCAAAAATTGAAAATACAAATATAATACTTTGAGGGACTGTTCTACTAGTTACCATCTAACAACTATATTAAGATAATTTTTAATACCAAATATATCAAGTACATTTTCTAATTAATGCATGCCAAATGCCAGGACTAATAAATTAACAAGGCAAAAGAGAGAGAGAAAATAAAAAGTAGAAGACAAGGTTTTCAAAGGGCATGAGTAAATAATATGAAGTGAGTGTAATATCCCATACGACAGCTACATACTTGCGCGACTTCAGCTTGCGTTCGGCTTCCTCTGACCTCATTTTGACATGATTCTTAGTGGACTCATCCAAGATACGCTGTACATTCAGCTTGCGCCAGGCACACCCAGATTCAACAAGCAAACCATTTCCATCTTCACCACTTTGGCGTTCTTCATAAATGTCACAAAGGTCACCATCCCTCGACCATGTAAATCTGAACTCCTTCCCACCAACATTAATAATCTGGTACAAATAAAATAACAGACCGTTTAAACTACAGGTCAACAATTGCTTAACAGAAAGGCAAACACACAAAAACAAAGATGGAAGATATGAACCAAACCACATGGGGATTTAATCTGCCATGGAATCCTAATTCTACTCATGCATAAAAAGAACATAAATGATTTAAAGTCAGCATATTATAGAAAATTATATCAAATTAGGCACACCATTCAATGGATAGTTCCTACTTCCTATGTCGTAGTATTATCTCTACACAGGCTATTCAAAACCGAGTAATGTTAATAGACTCACGATGAATCCTATACAAGGCAGCATATCCACCACTAAATGAATTTCATAATATGCACATATGTAGAATTTTGAGGGCGAGCCTTGGAGCCAATGTTGTTAAGATCGAGATCTTACCTAAGATCGGGAGGGGTAAAAAGATCGTAAATCGTAAAATCAACACGGATCGTAACTGTTCATATACAATATTAAAATTACACGAATGATCAAATAATTTATCACATATTGATAATCCTTAATTGATAATTTTTTAATTTTCTGGTTAAGTAAAAAAAAAAATAATATTCTTTCATTGTTACAGCATACGGCATATGACCATATTCTTCCTCAATTCATATTTCTTTAACAGCATAAGGCATATGACTATATTCTAAGTCACTTGGGTTGCCTTGCCACGTGCTATCTATCTTGCTGGAGGGAGACTTTAAGACAAATAGATACCATCTAATAAAGGTTAGAATTTCATATAAAATAACATAATTAATTAAAATTAGGGAATTGCTACTGAACGCTCAAAACTTCTAGCGGCTTGCTACAGCACTTGCGTCTTGCGCTAATGGTGTTGTGACAGTAAAAGAAATATACATTTCACAGTAATCCAACCACCCAACAATGCTTAAACAGTAACATCCACTTTACCAGAAACTCCACTCGGTTGTGAAAAACATTAATCTACAATAGCCTAAACAGTAAACCAACATTTAACCCGTTAGTTCCCCTCCACTCCTACCAGAATGCTTCAATCACCTAGTCACAGCCACACACGCAAACCACCAAAGCGGAGAACTGAGACCTTCTCTCAGACACAGAAGCCGGCAATCGCAGATGAAGAAATCGCAAACCATAGAAATTGCAAGACTGAGAAATAAGAGAAGCAATCGCAAGTGCAAGATTAGGCTTTACAACGTGGTTTTTAGATGGGCTTGGGGGCTATGAATGCTTTTTTTCTTCAATCGCAAACACAGTCGATAATACGATTCCACATTCATAAACGTCAATTTCACAAAGTGAATGAATGAAACGATACAGCAAACAATTTGAATCGTGGGAACAGCAAAAATCGTAAAATCAATCGATATTACGATTTTACACGCGATCTTAATAACCTTGCTTGGAGTTGTGGTAAGATTACTCATTTGCGAACGAAAAGGTCACGAGTTCGAATCTAATGCAAGCATAGAGATGCGTACAATCGACGCTAATAAATGCAAGGGTAAGGCGGCTAACAATCGACCGTCAACCCTATTTGAGGAGATTGTGCACTTGGCTTTGTCCTTTTTTGCACATATCACATATGCAAAATTTTAAATTCTGTTCTTTTTCTTTTTTTAGGATAAATCATAGGTATCTCCCACGTGGAGATGGGTTCGCTCTCCGCAAAGGGAATTTTTTGCATTTACAAGGACTTGAACTCGAGACCTTCCTTAAATTCTGTTTTGAATGGTGGATATGCTGCCACGGACGGGTTTACCATGAAATCCAGTCTATATTAACATCAACTTTTCAAAATGAATTTTTTCCTGAAATCAATCCAATGAACTTAAAAGGAAGGGGAAAACCTAACATGATCTTCAATAGAGACAAAAAATGAATGAACAAACAAATTGGAAGACTAGTTCAAAAAACAAGTTAGCATTTCAATTCACTATAATCCAATCAAAAGTTCAAAGCTTTAACAACAAACTGCAGTAACTTGAGTAAGAAGCTTACATTTCCGTTGGGATTATGCTGGTTGGAATCGAATTTCATACGCGCCGTGCCACCCTGTGCCTCCACGCGCTTGATCTCTTCCACGAGGTCCGGCGCCAATCTTATGATCATGGAGAAGGCGACGGGGTTGCTTCCGGAAACCAGGTTGAACGTCTCTTCCACCGCCGGCGGCGTTCCACGGGCGGAGCCGCCGACCGAGGGGCGGCGGCCGGCGGAGGAAGGAGCTGATCGATGCTGAGGTGGCGGAGGACGGGGAAATGAGGAGTGGGGGCGTTTGTGGGCGGCGCGGCCCAGCTTGGAGGCGGCTCCGCCGTACATGTTCGGTGGTGGTGGGGTTATCCTCGACGTCCTCGAACTCCGAGGTATTGGAATCTACCAGTTTATGATAGAAAAAAGAAAAATGGCACAATCATACGATGTTTTTTTCTTTGTAGTTTTTAACCTAAACCTTCTCATCCATATTGCAATTATACGTAGGGGTGTAATCTGAGCTACGTTGAGCCCGGCCCAGGCCCGGTCTTTCAGAAAAGTAGGGTAGGCTTAGTCTTATAAAATAGTTTTTTAATAAATAGGCCGTAGGCCAATTTTGTCAAGTCCGCCCTACAGCCTTGTAGGCTGACCTATTTAATTTATTAAAATAAAATAATAAAATAATATTTATTTTATGTGGCAAAGACACAAAGTACCAAATACCAATATCTCTTACTTTTTGTGCTATTTTATTTTATGAAAGGAAAACTTGTCTAATGTCTCCAAATTTTACATGCTGTTGCAGCTTAATACCATGGAGCAATGGGTACCTTGCTGGATTATGATGTTACTGATGAAGATCTTTCAATAATACTCTTCTTTCCCTTGTCTTGATGGTGGTTTAGAGATTTTTAGATGAATGACATTCTCTTGTAGACTTTATTTCAGCATCCATTAATTGTATTTTTCTTATTTTTCCCATTTATTTGACTCTATTCCTCTATGATATACATTCTAGAGCTGAGGTATTATGTTGACTCTTTCTTGTTTGTCATTTTTTTCTTATGAGAAATACTAGTGCATGCATGAATGAAACTTTCTTTGCTCTATACAATTATTTTTTTTGCTTAGTATATATAGTGGAAGGCCTACAAGGCCTGTAGGCCATGTCAGACTTTCTTATTTTTGAAAATGGGCCGGGTTTGGCGTACAAATAAAGTCTTTAATAGGCCAGATAAGCTGAATTTTTTTTTGACATAGGCTTGGGCCAGGATGGCCAAAGCCCAGCCCATTTACACCCTAATTATACCCCTTCCATTTTTGTTTTTGTTTTTGTTTTATTGTTATTTGCTTTGTGAGTAGTAGTCATATACTCATGTTGTTTTCGTATCAATAGATTCTTTTACTTTAATGTTTCTGTCACGTGAAAAAGATTTTGTTTATCTCTTGAAGATCATTAAAATTTGCAAATATCAACGAAGAGGGATAAAAATAAAAAATTTATATAATAAGATTATGTGAAATTTTAATACATGAGCATACATTCAGAATTGTCAACATTAAGTATTGTCATTCGCGATTTTAATCATCATTTATGTAATTTTATCATGAGTTCTAAATTGATATACTAGGGGCCTTGGATTTTTTTAAAAGGATAAAATTAAAAGATAGGGTGAGTAAAAAATTGAAAGTTACGTGACAAAACAAGTAGTGATTACATAATGTGTGGGTGTAGATTTTAAATTAGGGATAAAAATACTAAAGAGCGTTTTAGCAAATATGATTTGTGACTCAAGGACCAATCCCCTTTATTGTTAAAATAAATATTGATGTAGATATAAATATATTAATATTATCAACTTATTAAAAAAGATATATTTTTAGGATCGTTTAAAATTGATTAGAATTAAATGAATTAGATTTATCCAATAAAAAAAATATTGTAAAAGAATCTCGAACACAAATTAAGAATTTTAAGTTTAAAATTTACACATAGATGACTTAAACGTTATTTTGATGATCGATTAAGAACCTTAATTTTAAGAATGTTTATCAAAAAGAAAAACAAACATATACGCCTAAGATTTTGTTAATATTATAAGAGTTTAACAGAAAAAAATTATTTGTCACACTCATATAAAAGTGAATGAGTCCTACAAAAATCTTTTCTTCTTCTTTTTTTCTCTTTACAATGTGACTCGCTTACTTTTATGTGAATATGGCAAAAAAGAAATTCTGCAATAAAAATAAAAATAATTTTCTGATATTATAAATTATTTATTTATCCAATTGGACACTTTTATCATTTTACTATATTCATTGATTTTTTTTTTAACTTTAGTGACAAAAACTATATAAAAATTATATTTAATTAAGGTCATTGATAACAATAAAAGTTCGATACTTTAATTAATTCATCATAAAAAATTTAGATCTTCAATCAATATTTCACACGCTTTGTATTCGTACAATATCTGTAATAATAATAATAATTATTGTTTAAATTATTTTTGATGATGATATAAGTAGTTTAGCGGTTAATGAAAAGAGCCTGTTTGAAATGGTTTTTTTTAAGCTAAATGTTACTTTAAGCTAAAGTTAAAAACAAAAAAAAAATGAACTTAAAAAAAATTTAGAATTATTTGAAATTATATCAAATTATTCTCCATGCTCATTTGGTGGACAATATAACATAGCAATAGATTGGTTAATATTAGAATAAGATGTGGACCTGATAAGCTCATATCATATTCTACATTTGGTTTGTACTAAATAAATGGCCTGATATGTTACACAAAAAAATATAAAAATAATCTAGTAGGATAATGTTATCGTATTTGGTCTTTCGGGCGAATCATACGATATCATGATATGATATAAATAGATAAAAATGTCCTTTTTAAAAAAAAATTCATATGATTTTTTTAAACTATTTTTTGTTACTTATTTACATATTAGTTTGTATTTTAAATTATCAAAAAAGTTAAAAGTCACAATTTTAAATAAAATACGTAAATAACTTACAAATTCTTTCAAAATTAAAAGATTATATCCTCACCAAATAAAGATTTGAAAATTAAGTCTTAAATTAATTGTCGATATTGATGGCTCGTGGCTAGTAACGATGGTTGGTGGTGGTGGCATCTGGTGCGGTGGGAGACCGTTTGAATTGGTGGCAGTGGTTGTATAGACTGGTGATGGTGGTGGTGGTGAAGATGCAGGTAATAGTCGGTGACAAGTGTGGTGGTTGTGGCTAGATAATAGTGGTGTGGTGGTTAATGGCGATGACGACGATGGTGGTAGTTTACTGATGATGTTAGCAGTGGTGGTGTTGCTGGCATTGACTGATGGCAATGGTGGTGGTAGCCCAATGTGGCGGCTATGGCCAATGGCGATTGCAACGATGATGATGAAGGTTAGTGCAATAGTGGCAAGCGGGAGTGACTGGTGGAAGTGGCAGCGGTGATGGCTGGTGGCAATTATGGTGGTTATAACCAGTGACAAAGGTGGTGGCTAGTAGCTCATGCCAATGGTGGTGACTGGCAGATGGGTGGTTGTGGTTGTCGTCGTCGTGGATGGCAGAGGTGGCTGATGGCCGACAGTGACGATGGCGGTGGTTGGTTGGTCGAAGGGTTAACCTTCACGTGCCCAGCAATATTCATAATCAAAATACAATTGCCCATTAAATTAGCATTCACGAGAGAGAATTAATGATGATATTAACAAAAAAATGGAATTGTGGAGGAATAGAGGTACAAAGAAGTGTGTATGCGCAACAGATGTCTTGAATTGCACCAAACCGAGAAACAAGCAAATCGAGGATTCAAATGGCCTTGGACCAGTCCTTGGAGATGCAGAGCCTGGCCAGCTCGGCTCGTTGGGAGGTAGCAGTGGCACTATTAGTGGAAGTTTTATCGTTGTTGATACGGAGCTTCACTCGCTAACAAAAACAACGCATGGTGGAAGCAAAATGAAAGCACTAGTGATACAGAGTTTCACTCGCTAACATAAATAAAACACATTTTTATTATGATCAATAATGGTTTCTTATATGAGATACTACTACTTATACAATTCAACCTATTATGGACGTGCCATTCGTTCCTATTTACCCTCCACATGATTTCCTAACCAATACCAAAAGTCTTATTCTAAGCACTATCCACATGAATACCAAAAGTGTCTCCTATTTACACTTAGGCACTTACTACCCGAAAAAATTTAAGTAGCATTGTCGCACTGAACTTAGTGGGAAGACAATATATTTTTACTATAATACATAGGCGGATTATGGGATCCTAAAAATTTGTTCAAAATTCACCTATGTACCTTAATAAAAATGCACTATTGTTGCACTGAACTTCAGTGCGACGGGTGCATCAAAATACGGTAATCATAATAAAATTGCCCATCAAATTAGCATTCACGAGAGATAATTAATCATGATATTAACAAAAAAAAATGGAATCGTGGAGGAATAGAGGTACAAAGAAGTGTGTATGCGCATCAGATGTCTTGAATTGCATCAGACTGAGAAACAAGCAAATCGAGTATTAGAATGGCCTTGGACCAGTCCTTGGATATATAGTTCCTGGCCAGCTCGGCTCACTGGGAGGTAGCAGTATCATTATTAGTGGAAGTTTTATCGTTGTTGATACGAAGCTTCACTTGCTAACAGAAACAACGCATGGTGGAAGCAAAATGAAAGCAATAGTGATACAGAGCTTCCTCGCTAACAAAAACAAAACAAATTTTCGTTATGATTAACAGTGTTTTCTTGTATCAGATATTACTACTTATACTCTTCATCTTATTATGCATGTGTCATTCATTCCTAATTTCCCTCCACGTGATTTCCTAACCAATACCAAAAGTCTTATTCTAATCACTAGACAATATCTATTTTTTTTTTGCCGCGCTTTCTTTAGGGGTGTTAATCAACCGATTTAAATCGCAGTGATCGAACCGAAAAATTAATAACTGAAAAACCAAAAATCGAAAAAAAACCTTAAACTTTTGGGTCGAATTGGTTCTTTACATAGTAACACAACCTCAGAGTACTGGGTTCAATCCTCGTCGCCCCCCTCTTCTTTCTAGTGGAATTTCTTTATTAACACAGGTAGGTGGATCTGTGCATTGTCCACCCTTCAAGCCCAGTGGTCTCTCGTGTATGGGGGCGTGTTTGAGATATATAAAACCACTTCACCCAACAACTTAAACTTTTGGGTTGAATTAGTTCTTTACAAATACCAAAAGTGTCTACTATTTACACGTCGGCTCCTACTTCCCAAATTTTTGTCAAGGTACATTGTTGCACTAAACTCAGTGGGATTGCAATATATTTTTACTAGGATACGTAGGCAGATTCTTGGGTTTTAGAAATTTGCGCAAAATTCATCTATATATCCTAATAAGAATGCACTATTGTCGCATTGAACTTCATTGCGACAGGTGTAACACCCTGTGTATACCCAGTTTGTTAACATGTCATCGTATTAAGCAACACTTAATTAAAATGTGGAATAACTTTTTCTTTTCAATTATGACGTCATTAATATTACCAAGTTGATTACTTAATCTTTTTCATAAAACATTGGCTGTATGTAAATTGCAATAAAGCTAAATACACTGAATAACCTCATTATATAAATACAGTGAGTATCTAAGTCACGGTACTACAACACGTAGTCCGGACCATAATCCTGATACATTAATACAACTCGAATTTAAAATAAGACGTAGTCAACCAATGTGGCATGGACAACCCCATGCTCACCAAATAAGGCAATAAAGCCCAACAATAGTCTCAATATCAACAACATGATAATAAATATGAAGCAGGTCAGCATCCAAGCATAATCCAAGCATATCATCATAAAGCATAAATATCAACTCAGCTTCGACCTCCTGCCGCCTGAGGTCTCAACCCCCGAGTTACCTGAACCTGAAAATATGCCCCAAACGTGGGGTGAGATCTCTAAACATAAATCTCAGTAAGGCAAAGGGTCCTCAAGGATTTCTCCAGCCCAAACTGACTTACATGTGCAATATAAGTTCAAAAGCAGTAATATAATATAAATTCCAAAACCAGTGCAATGCAGTATAATAATCATGTCATGTGTGTCAACTATTATACTGGCCAGATAAATACAGGATTTACATACGTCTATTACCTACATTAGTGCAAGACACCACTTGCATCCACCCACAGAATCACCCTATGGCATGTCTCCTACATACACAGGCTTACCGTCTAGGTGGAACAACACATGCATATTATAAGGCACTTGCACATAACAGCTTAACAACATTTCAAAAACAATACATGAAAACGCATCATGCATGTAAACCATCCCCACATGGGTATGGTGGAACCAACAATGGCTAAACCGAGGACACGAAAGCTTACCTCGCAAGCTAACTGTTGGACATGTGGCTTCAATACTCAAGAGGGGGGTGAATTGAGTTTTATAAAATCTTTTCGCAAAGTACCTCCTTTGATGTTTTAAACACTATCTCTTCAATAAAGTGATTTAATAAGGAAATGTCTAATTGTAAAAGCAAGTGTAGTGATCAACAAAGTAAGCAAGCGAATGTATATAAAGACAATCTAAGATGCAATTTTAATACTTAAATAAAAAGATTAAGGTTAGAGAGATTGCAAACTAGCCGTTTTATAGCCGTTATTTTTGTCTCTGTACAGTAGGTAATCAATTACCATTAAGTGGGTAATCGATTACCATGAAGGGTAATCGATTACCATTGTTGGGTAATCGATTGCCAACCTGTTGAAAGGTTGGTTTTTGCCCTAAAATGTTTTTCTCTTTATTCACATCATTTTCAAATATTGTTTAAACATTTTATGAACATTGAAAAGTATGTTTTCATGTTAAGAATGTATTTGAAAAAATATTTTGAGCTTCGTTCTTGTAAAGAATCAATTTACAAATAATCCTAAGTCCTACAGTATATTACTCTGAGTTTGGACTTAGAGACTTCTCTTGAAGCTTGAGTCTTGACTTCTTTTTGATGGTTGCACCTTGAGGTTTTCTTTCCATGTTTGTTATTATCGAAATCGTTGAACCTTTATATTCTTTTCATAGAGTGCATTGGTTCCACACTAATTATCCAACCAAGAGTCCAACCAAGTCCAAGGTCCACAAACAGCAATCTCACAGTATGTTTATACCAACAATCATATCAACAATCATAATCTACAAACATATGACATAAAGACAACGCTTTCCTTGTACGTTTCATGTCTTTAAGCTTCTCACAAAGTCATAAGCCCTTAATCACTTTGATTATGACTTAGTTAATTAATACAGAGGTTCAACTTAACCAATCTAGGGTCAACAAACCCCAAATATAGTTCTGTATGAACAGAACAGTCACTGTCTCGAAATTCCTAGAATATCCGGATATTTGTCGGGGCCATATCCGGATATCACAACCCCATATCCGGATATCATATATGTATATCAATATCTGAATATCATATACGGATATTTCGCGACAGAATGCAGTTTCTGCATTTCACGAAGATGTCACTTCAAGGTTGCATTTTTAACTCATTAATACGTCCAAGCATGCATTTTTATTCACTATTAGGTTCATGTTCAGGTTGGTTACTTATTCAACTCTTTAACATGCCAAGACTCAACCTTTAAACAAGGAAAACTTATGATTAAGGTAATGGTGCTTACGCAAAGGCTTCAAAACAGAACCACAAGTGCTCTTGGAGCTCACAAGTCAGTCCACAAATTTTGACTTCAAAGGTACACGAAAATGGTGATCAAAGGTTGGTCTTTCTCACCAAAAATCACTCTTTATAAAGCCAGTACACGCTTTTACGAAGATTTTGATCAAAGGTTATTTTTCGCAGCACTTTGCCAGTACACGCTTTTACGAAGCCGGTATCAGTTCTGACACCAGTTCTCATTATTTTGAATTGAAACTTGTTATGCTAGTCCTATATACTATTCTAGTGACATATACATACTTTTCATAATTTTTCGGGATACTTCATCGGTACGCATTTATACCGTGAGGCAGAACCAGTATCTGCACTTTTCGTCAGAAAGGCGACTTTCAACATTATTAATCACTTACCATAATTATTAGGGTCAATTATGGAATTATCTTATTAATCTCATAATTAATTAATTATATTCTTAATTTAACGGTGCAGGTTCTTACAACAGGTGCATCGAAAATTTATTCCTACTATCCATAGTAATCAGTGGCCCATGTAGGACTGACTTTATCATGTTCAAATCTCCTATGGAATACTGTATCAATTGTAGTATTTTTCTTTTTTGGGTGGGGGCTTTAGCCCTTTTTTCTAAAGAGAGAGAGAGTCAAGAACCAATTTGGAGTTGTTGGCTTTATTCTTGTGAATTACAAATTTTGGTTTGGTATCTTTTATTATTTCAATATGGGTGGGTTAGTTAGTACCTAGGGCTGTTAACGGGTTGAGCCGGATCATATTTTGGTCTTAAAAGGCTAAATATGTGTTAAAATGTATGAGTCTGGCCTAGTTTGTTACATGTTATGAATATAATTATCGACATGTGACCTGACTTATTTACAAAAAATAAAATTATGGTTTAGCGTGTGAAACAGAAATAAGACAACAAAAAGTTATCCAAACAGAACATATGATCAACAACACTAATAATTTCACAAAGATTCATAAATTTAATGTATATCCAAACAACATAATATAGAACAAAATTATTCAAAAAGTCTGTTTAACCAATAAAATATGATGAAATGGGTTGAGGAGAGAGAGCTATTAAGAGTTGTATAAAAAATATAAAATAAAAATAAAAGTTAGTATGCTAGGGGAGCGTGAGAAGCCCTCTAAGACCAAACTTTTGAATTGGAGCCTGAAACTTTTTTATTAAACGAGTTTTTATACAAGTCGAAGCATGATTCCAACAGTCAATTTTAGACATATAAACGTAAGCCTTCACGAGCCTGTCAAAGGTTATGATTACCGTTACACTTGAATATTTTAAAAATAATATAAACGAGGGAAAGTACAGGAAATAGAAACCGAATTGTTATCACAATTAATTTTATTTTGTTCTTTGTATTTATTTGCTAATATTTTAACCATATTTTCCTATTTATTTAGTGACAACTTTGGTATTAAGAATAAAGCCATTTTAATTTTTTAGGAACTATGGAAACGTAAAAGATAGAAAATCTCTCCTATTACTCTTATTAATATTTTAGAAATTATTGATATTCAATATTTTTACATATATATTTACTAATTATATCAGAATTATTTACTAACCTAAAATGAAATAAATATTTCAAATCTAATTGAGAATCACAGTAACCAATCATTAATTGAGAATCTTTTTACATATATATGTACTAACCTATTGATATTCAATCTTTTTGGATATTATTGATATTTGCAAATCTTTATAAACAAATAATTAAATAAACACAGATTTTCCCCGAAATTTTATATAAAAAGAGAGTAACAATTTCCAGAGGAGTGTATAACACGAACTCGAAGAGAAAAAGTGGGCCAGGGACTCGTCTTACCCCCAAATATAAAAGCACAGGAGAAAGGCCACCGTAGCGCGTTTCGTTTCGTTTCGTTTTTTCCCTTTCTTGAAGCCAAAGCTCTTCTCTATCGTCTTCTTCCCTTTCTTCTCGATCCTTCTAACACCATGATTACAGGTGAGCCACTTTCTCTCTCCTCGATTTCTCAATCAACTACTATTCGTTTTTTTCTCTATGCATTCATCGGCCTCATTCGATTTTTTGTTTTTGAAATTTATTTGTTGTTTTTTATTTTATTGCTGCTGCGTATTTGAAATCAACGAGATGTGGTGTTGGTAGTTTAGGGTTCGAGAGTGTTCACGTGTTTATTTACCGTGCAAAAGAAAAAAAGATCCGCTTGCATCGGGAATTTTAATGGGATATGGGGTTTTGAGCTTGATTTGTGGCTTCCTTTTTTGGAACTTTGCTATTTTATGCGAGCTAGGATGATTGAGTGTGTTATATATGAACTTCGCAGTTTTCAAGTTACGTGGTTCGTTACTCTATTATTGCTATTATTAGGTGCTCCTTGGTGTATATGAACTTTGGACAGTGTAGATGTAGCTATATTAGTGCATTCAAATTCTTTTCGGGTCAAATTATGCCATAGTAATAGAGAAGAAACTCACTCCAACTGCTGTTAAATATTTTTTTCATTATTCATGAATGCCTTGTTTTACATATGTTGAACGCTGTTAGCAATGAACTGATATTGAAATCCCGTTTACTGTTATTGGAGTTTTGCCTTGTCAATTGTTTATTTGTGTGTGCGTATGCTTTATTTTTTTTGTTGATGAGATTTTATCTTATATATTGGATTCCGTTACTTACTACTGCACTGCATATTTTTCTGCAGTGAGCGTAAAATGGCAAAAGAAGGTTTTGGAAGATGTAGAAATTGATACTACCCAGCCCCCTTATGTTTTTAAGTGCCAATTGTTTGATCTAACGGGGGTACCTCCTGAAAGGCAAAAGATTATGGTCAAGGGTGGTCTTTTAAAGGTAAGTATATTGTTGAATGTGATGCTGAACATGCTTTAACTGATTTGATTTTGATATTTCCTTTCTAATAATTAATAAGTCGACCTGAGTAAGTAGGCTTTATAAAAGATATCTCATATCTCTATTAAATGATGGAACGAAGTTGTTTTCAACTCAATTTTTTTGGGCGTTTCATTTTCTCTTGCAATGCAGGATGATGCTGAGTGGTCATCATTAGGAGTGAAAGAGGTTAGTGGTACTAGAATGTGTTTTTTAGTACTATTCTACTATAGTCCGTACTCAAATGACCTATATAATCCCTTTGGCAGGGTCAAAAGCTAATGATGATGGGAACAGCAGATGAAATTGTGAAGTCTCCAGAGAAAGGAACTGTTTTTGTTGAAGATCTTCCTGAAGAAGAACAAGTAGTTGCTGTTGTAAGCTTCAGCTCTTTTTTCTCTATATATTCATATTACTTCATGAACTGCGGTGTGGTTGTATTTGTAATTGTATAACAGTGCAGCTTTAAATTAACATGCAAGATACATATGTTTCTCAACTTATGTAAAATCTTGCATTGATCCTCATGTTATTGCTCATTTATAAAACTTAAAGGAGTTAAATTAGGTTTTCCTTTAATTAAAAAGTCTATGCTTGCCAATTAACTTGATCTTGAATCTTTGAAACGGATAGACAATAGTCCCTTTCGTCTTCATACTTATTTCTTTTCTTAAATTCCAGCTACCCGTGAAATTTGATTTAGAAAGAAAAGATTCAGCAATGGTCCCATTTCGAAGCCCAAGCATGTTAAATATTGCATGATCTATGCTGTTGGACTTTGAAGTGAGGCTTAGTGTTGGGCATGAAAGATCTCTTGTTGCAGTTGTCTGCACATTGCAACTTCTCAGGATTGTGGTTTACTTGATTTTAGTCTTGGCCATCTCAGATTTTGTGTTTTCACCGTAGATTTTATTTTGACTAATTTCATGTCATTCATTGAATGACCTATTTGATGTCATTGATAAATGGAGTACCAATGTGATGTCAAGTATATCTTTGGTGGACCAAAATGGGTTTTTACTCTAAAATATATATCCATTGTCTAAAAATTGTCAGGTGGATTTACTTTCTGAAGTATGTTGAATTTATTTTTCTTTTTATTTGTTTGTGTTCTACTTCTGCTTGGTGGAGTCATACAATATTTTTGTGTTTTAATATCTGATTTTCTTCTTTTTTGTTTGGGGGTGGGTGGGATCTGTATGATGGATCGGTTCTTGCAGGGACACACTGCTGGTCTTTTCAATTTGGGAAATACCTGTTATATGAACTCAACATTGCAATGCCTCCATTCTGTGCCAGAGTTGAAATCAGCTTTGATTAAGTGAGTCTTTTCTATGGGGACATAATTTGACATTTTTATTTGCTGCATTTGTGGCTGATATATGATGAACAATGTGTGAACTTTCTTGGGATCAGGTACTCTCATTCAGGACGGAACAATGATGTCGATCATTCTTCTCATATGTTGACCATTGCAACCCGTGACTTATTCAATGAGCTTGATAAAAGTGTCAAGCCTGTGGCGCCAATGCAATTTTGGATGGTACATAATCTAGTGCCTGTTATATAACTAATTATTTATCTATTATTGTTAATATATCTTTTTTTGAGATGATGTGATAGGATTTTGGAAAGACCATTTTTAAAATTTTGAAATGTCATAGTAAAGCAACACAAGGGTAAATTTGAAATGTCATAGTAACATGATTATATTGGGTAGATTATCATTAAAATTTCGTACAAATTTATTGTTTCAGGAATCCAGTTGGAAACAGAGAATCATTTATAATAAAAATTATTTTTTGTTAATCTGTTCTTTTTCTGACACCTTTTAAATCTGAGTATTCATATGATTAAATCTCAATTCGACAATGTCTTAGGAGTTTGGAGAACCAAATTTGTGAACCCTAGATGTTTGGGATAGTTATTCTGTGATGAATTTATTTCTATTGTGTTTGGTAAGGAATTTAAGCGTCAAGCATCTTGAAAGAGTAGTATCATAAACTTTGCTTACATTTTTATAAAATATTTACAGTTAGTTACTCTATTTGCTGCATGGGAAGTAAATTGTGGGATGTGTGTTACCCTCTGTTAGCAATCAGCCACCTCTGCTGGTGTTACTCGGCCATCTGAATATCTTCTGCCATTGGCTAAGGCAAAGCATCAACCCTTTATCATCCAACGTTTCATTTATGCAGATTGATGTATATGGCGGTTCTTTGTTGCAAAATTGATTCATGTCCTTTTTTTGTGGCCATGATATATTCATGTCCTCCTTTTGAAATTACCACCCAAAGCAGAGCATTATTACTATTAGAATGTGACTTTAGAAATATATTGATGTTTATCCTCTGGCATTTTTATTTTGCTGCTTTTATGTTATTTGAATTTTGAGTTGGATAGTTTATTCTGTCATTGTATATTGAATTTTTTTTTTTCATAATTGTTAATGATTGGTTACTTTTCTACCCTTGCCCCACTCATAATTTTGAGAAAATAATGTTGTCCTGGTTTGCTACTGCATTGAACAGGTATTGCGGAAAAAGTATCCTCAATTTGGCCAGCTGCATAATGGAGTATTCATGCAACAGGTTTATAAGTTGCATGTCGCTTTGTGGAATTAGTTTTATTGCTTTAGTGAATTATATACTTATCTAATTTTTCATGTCTGACAGGATGCTGAAGAATGTTGGACACAACTTCTATACACTCTTTCTCAGTCTCTGAGGTCCACTGGATCTAGGTAATTTTCTCCTTATTTCTCGGTAACTAAATGCAATTGCTGCTATATCTTGTAACTAATATTTATTATTTAGAAAATGGTGGCAGACTTAAATTGAATTACTAAACAGTTGATTTTCATTCTCTGTACTTTCACTTCTAAACATACTGTCTGGTTAAATTAGTTTAAAATGCAATTTCATAGTGGTTTAATAGGGTTTACAAACTCTCCTGATTTGTGCATTACTTGTTTATTTTTTCATCCACTTCTTTATGCTTTGAATATTTATTTCAATCTAACATATTTTATGTGTGATTTTTCAGTGAAAATTCCGATGCAGTGAAGGCCCTTTTTGGGATAGAACTTATTAGCAGGTACAGTTTGAAACTTTTTCCACAATTATTGGCCACCAATTTGCTATAGGTTAATTACATTTATAAAGTATTTTGTGCGTAATTTTTCTAATTCTCATTAGTAGCATTTTCCTTGGTACTATTTGCAGCAAGTGATTGGATAGACTTGTCTTGAGAGTACCAAAAGTCAAATAGATTCGTTGTTTTCCTAATTTAACTTGTAGATGTCTTGTTATAATCTTCTTTATGAATCCTTTTATTTTGCTCCAAACCTCTATGGTGGCTAAGTTTTAATTTGTCATATGATCATTCAGTGCCTTGTTATCTTTTGTGATTTCCCATCCTTAAGCTTGTTTCATGTTTGGGAAGGAGCTTATATCTAGCTTCTAGCAAATGTATAAATGGCAGAATTGGTATTGAAAAGTATTGAGTATAATTATATCATGTATTTTTGGTGTTTTTAAAAATTAAATGCGTGATTGTATTGTAGCTCATAGCATTTTAAAATGAAGATAACTTTATTTACTGTCTGAAGATGGTAACATGTAAATGAAGAACTTGTATTCCTATGATGTTTTTCAATTGTATGGATCTATGGGATTAAGAATTAGACAACAGTTGCTTGTAACCTACAAGAGAATTAGGAGTACAAGAGTTTTTTTTTTTTTGGTGCTTGTTCCCTTTTATTTTTTGAAGAGGGGGGGGGGGGGTTGCAAATTAAATGAACTAGGTATGTGATACGAACCTTGGTTGAACCTCACTCCAAAAGTTAGCTCAAGAGGTAGGAGTGCTCAAAGTCCATATAAATCCTACATTAGTCACCTATATAACCAATGTGGGACTCCAAGTCCCATACAGTGGCGGAGCCAGCATGGCATGTTAGCCGGTGCTAAAAAATTCAGCTAGTGCCCAAATAGCTACGGTTCTCTGGCTACGACCAAAACGTGGCTAATTTTCAAAAAAATTGATACATGATTTGCTACGTTTCAAGTGTAGCTAAATGAACGTATTAAGCCAGTGCCTAGGCACCTGCTGGCACCAACGTGGCTCCGCCACTGGTCCCATACCTTGAAGTAGGATCGTAACATCCCACCACGGTCTGCGCGGGCTGGTTTTGCGCTAGTCTTTTACCGGCCATAGGCGAACACTGCAATGCCAGTATCACCACCCGCGCCGCTCAATTGCAACTGGGAGACATAATGGAATGCTCTGATACCAATTGATATGAACCTTGAGAGAACCTCACCTCAAAAGCTAGCTCAAGAGATAAGAGAGTTCAAAGTCCATTTAAACTCCACATTAGTCGCCCATATAACTAATGTGGGACTCCAAGTCCTATACCTTGGAGTAGGATCGTAACGGTATGCTGGAGAGTCTGGACAGGGACCATTTCCTAGTAATTTAAGGCTTATAATTATGTGTCCATGACTCTGTCCTTCTTAATGCTGGAGAAATATTTGTTTTGTTTTTTATACTCATTTGTCTGTAACATTTCTTTTGCTGATAGTGTCGCTAGTCAGTTTCTTGATTCTCCGTGTGATTCTCATTGGGATGCTGCTGTTAGGATCCTTCGTTACATCAAAGGAGCACCAGGGAAAGGTTTATTATATTCAGATCAGGGAAATACAGAAATTTGTGGTTATTCAGATGCTGATTGGGCAGGATCACCCTCGGATAGGCGCTCTACTTCAGGCTATTGTGTTTTCTTTGGAGGAAACCTGATTTCTTAGAAAAGTAAGAAACAAACTGTTGTTGCCCGATCTAGTGCAGAGGCCGAGTATCGTGCAATGGGAGTTGCTACCTGCGAGCTAATCTGGTTAAAGCAGTTGATTCGGGAGCTCCATCTTTGTGAACAGAAGAAACCCATGACTCTCATTTGTGACAATTGTTGAGATATATAGTCCCACATTGGTTGTATGTGCAACTAATGTGGAGTTTATAAGGCCTTGAGCACTCTCACCCTTTGAGCTAGCTTTTGGGGTGGTGTATCCCAAGGTTCTTTACATGGTATCAGAGCCTCGCCGCCCCCCACTTTCTCGTGTGGCGTTTCTTAGCACAGGTAGGATGGGCCTGTTGCATTGTCCACTCTTCAAGCCCAATGGGCTCTTGTGTGAGAGGGCGTGTTGAGATATATAGTCCCACATTGGTTGTATGTGCAACTAATGTGGAGTTTATAAGGCCTTGGGCACTCTCACCCTTTGAGCTAGCTTTTGGGGTGGTGTATCCCAAGGTTCTTTACAACAATCAAGCTGCACTACATATATCCTCTAATCCTGTATTTCATGAGAGAACCAAACATATAGAGATCGATTGTCATTTCATTCGAGAAAAGATTCAGTCAGGAGAAATCAAAACGGAATTTGTCAACTCCAATGATCAACTCGCGGATGTCTTCACTAAAGCTCTTAGGGGTCCTCGGGTTGAATATATTTGTGGCAAGCTGGGTGCTTACAATATATATGCTCCAACTTGAGGGGGAGTGTTAGAATAGTTGTAAAAATAGTTCAGTATATATATAGTCCCACATCGTATGAGCTCAACCTATTAGGTCTTTTAGTCTCTTTAAATAGAGAGCTCTTGTACATTGTAATACACTATGATTATTCAATATACAATTATTCTTTAATCTCAAGTATCTGGGAAGGTGTGTCGTCGGGATGAGACGGTCCTGATCGCAGGTAGTCTGGGCTAAAACCTCGCCGGAACAGTGCTCCGGTGGCCTGAACAGTGACGAGCGGCGGTTGTTGGCGGCGGGAAGTGGTTCTGACAGGTGAAGAAACAAGCCGGAGAGACACACGGCTTAGAGAAAAAACTCGCCGGAAGAATGCACGGCAAAGTAGAAGAGAACACCTAAGCAGTGGGCTTAGGGTTTTAGCGGAAGCGGATCCCCAGAGCTAAAGAGCTCTGATACCAACTTGAGATTAAAGAATAATTGTTTATTGAATAATCATAGTGTATTACAATGTACAAGAGCTCTCTATTTAAAGAGACTAAAAGACCTAATAGGTTGAGCTCATACGATGTGGGACTATATATATACTGAACTATTTTTACAACTATTCTAATAGTTTTCTTTTGTTGCATTGTAGCCCATGCTTTATGGTGCATTGTATAAAAAATAAAATTCACACCTTTTATGTTTTGAAGTCTATTAAAGTGCTTATGAATGTCCATAAGATTGTATCCTTATATGTACTAATTTTCTGTTTGTTATTTGATAAATTGTTAGAACTCATTGCCAAGAGAGTAACGAAGAAAGTTCAGAAACAGAATCTGTTTATGCACTTAAATGCCACATATCACAGGAGGTGAATCATTTGCATGAAGGACTGAAACAGGTAAGTACTAAGGCTTCTCTCTTTCCATTGACAATGTGTCAGTGTGTGTATATTGTTTAATAAGAATGTTATTTTCTTCTTGCAAGTCTAAACGCTGTTTTTATGTTTTGTTTTGCTTGACTAGCATTTTCATCCTTAGTACTTTCTTAAAATTGATCTATCTCTTTGTTCCCTCCCACTTGATTCCACCCTCTTCCCCTAAATTTTAATTTTCTTTCTATAACATTGTTTATGTATATTAGTGAGTGATAATTGGCTCTTGGTTATTATGCAAAATCAGTAATTTCTAGGCAGACGTGTTAGGTTTGGTTCAATGTAACAATTTATTGACTTTATTAAGCACTTGACAGGTTGGGAGCATTTTTACCTCTTCCCCGCCCCCCCAACACATTTTTTTAAAATTTCCCCTAAAATGTTACTGCTATATGAAAATTGAAACTTAGTATGACATAATTGATGTCTATAAAATCGTTTAATATTATGAATTCTTCTGCGTAGTTTTTCCTTAATAATCAACTTTTGTTAACCTGGCTGAATTTTGTAGGGATTAAAATCAGAGTTGGAGAAGGCTTCCCCTGCTTTGGGCCGTAGTGCTACCTACTTGAAGGAATCACGCATCAATGCCCTGCCAAGGTTGGTATTCTCTTTCTGGTTATTATTTTTTTTCTTGGATTTTTTCCTTTTCTTTTAGCCATTTATATGTGGTTTCAGTTGGAGTACATTTTAAAGCTTCACAATCACAACTTTGATAGTATAACTTGCACTGAAAGTATTATTATGCGAGTTTTTGATGAATACTTACTCGAAGTATTTGAAATCTTGATATTATGTCTTGAATTTATGATTTTTAAGGCCAGCAAATCAATTCTAATGTTTAAGCTGCTAGGTGCTGTTTCATGAATGATTTTTATGAATCCCCTTATTCAACAATCATTTGGTTTGAAGAGTGGATAGTGTGTAGGTTTGTTTTATTTGTGCCTGAAATTTAATTGAATTATGAAGACCGGACTTGGCAAGGATTAAATATCTTACCACTTGGTCATAGACTCATAGTGACTTTGATACCACGTCATGTCATGTATCAAATGAACTCAACCCAAAAGCTTAATCCGGTAGTTGCAGACCGGATAATGATTTTTATCTGTAACAGGGACAATGAGAAGAGTCCAATTTTGATGTTTATTTGTTTATTCTTTTTATCCTGTTGTTTGGCTTAATTTTAAAAGCCCCCCTTAAAAAAAAAAGGAACTCACGCAGATATGAAGGCAAAACCATAATAGTAAACGATCAAAATCCTGTTAAGGTTATATTTAATGATGTAGGTCTTGTGGTCAATGAAGAAAATGGTCTAGATATTTTTGTTTTCAAAATTGAGTCTACCAAGATATCTTTCTTCAGTTTATAGTGAAGATGAGTGTCAGTCATATTTAGTGATGTAGTGTGGTTAGTGTTGAGTAACAAAGTTTGGTTACGAGCCATAATTTATCTTTTCTGATATTACTAATTCAAATTTTACACATTTTAGAATGTATATGAAAGATCTGTTAAGGTTTTATGGCATACTTATGATCTTTCTCACGGGTCATAGTTAAAATATTAGTCTGAGTTTTTGATGAAATTGGATCTTGAAATAGAACTGTTCTAGTATTGTGGTAGTTCAGATGAAGATTGTGTATCAATTAATTTGTTGAGTTTATTTCTTGTTAATTGCTCTGAGTGGTGCAATTGTGACAGTGGTTTCAATTTTTGCTTTTTCAAGGTACTTGACTGTTCAGTTTGTCCGGTTTTTTTGGAAGAGGGAATCCAACCAAAAGGCTAAGATTTTGCGGGTAATGCTCAATATCTTTCTCTTTTTGTTTTGTTTCTTTTTTTGGATAGGGTTGGGATGAGAATAGTTTTCCTTGCATGGTTTTGCTTGCTTTCTTATTTTCTTTATTTTTTTTATGATGTAATTGTGCTTGCTTATCTCAGAAAGTGGATTATCCTCTGGAGTTGGATGTTTATGATCTTTGTTCTGATGATCTTCGTAAAAAATTGGAAGCTCCTAGACAGGTATCCTCTTTGTTTTGACGTTTGAAAATCTTATGGTTGTCTGCAATAAAAGAATGTTTGCTTAGTAAAATGTGTGGATCTATATTCTCTTTTTGGAAATTGTATCTACAGATCTTAAGAAATGAGGAAGGCAAAAAGCTTGGTCTGAAAGTGAGTGAGAAGAGCTCTGTTCACAAGGAAAATGATGTAAAAATGTCTGATGCTGAGGTGAGAAAACAAACAAACTTATGGAATAGTAATTTCATTCAATTTTAATCCCATTCCTTCTTAAGAGTAGTGGGATTGGGATTTCATGTTCCCTGGGATGATATTTCATTTTTCTTTCCCAAACATAATAAAAGTTTTACATAAAGACAACTATTAGTCTTATTAAATTTGTACATCATTTTACATAAAAGACACCAACTTATTACAGCCAATTTCATTCCATGGAATCACCCTTTCATATAGACACATGTGGTAATGTGTATAAATAACACAATCCCTTATACTGTGTTCTTTCATTGATTCAGGGATCATCAAATGGAGGAGGGGAGCCATCTGTAGCTCCAATGGAGGAAGGTAAAAAGCTGCAACATTCTTCTACTATATTTTTTTCCTTTAGCAAGCCTTTCTACTTTTTACTCTCAATTCTTTGTCTATAGGTGAAAAAGAAGAACAGATGACTGGAATTTATGATTTGGTTGCTGTATTGACCCACAAGGGTAGAAGTGCTGATTCAGGACATTATGTTGGTTGGGTCAAGCAAGAAAATGGTTGGTTCTTGGAAACAAGTGTTTTTGTAGTATCCGACTATCTTTCCTGGTATCTTCGAAGTAATAATATTTATTTTATTGTCGGCAGGGAAATGGATAGAGTATGATGACGACAATCCCAAACCAAAAATAGGAGAAGACATCACCAGACTATCTGGAGGAGGTGAGGATATGCATAATTAATCTTTGGACATGGATGATATAAAAAATATACTTATTACCTTCTTTTTTAATTGAGCATAGCATGAGCTGACTTCCAATAAAAAATCTGCATTTGCGTTGCTTCATTTTTTTTTTTTCTTTCAAAGCATTAGTCAATTCATTATATTTTTAGTTTCTAAATCGTAAGTGCACTCATCCTTTTTCAACTTCAAATTTGTGGTATATGATGATATAATAAAAAAATTGTTATATTATCTTTGTCTCTAGGTGATTGGCATATGGCGTATATTATCATGTACAAGGCGCGTGTTCTTTCTGCTTAATTGCTACAAAGAGCTCAATTTGGTGTTTTACCTCGGAGATTCATTGATTGTGAAAAAGAATAGTGTACGGGTCATTGTTTATGTTGTACCCTTGAGGTTTGATGCATGTTAGTTAGTTTTTATTTATTAAATTTAGCTATTGTAATTTTTTTTTTTTTTAAATTTTTTTGTTTTAAAAAGGATGCATAAGGATTTGAATTGAAGCTTGCTGTCCTGAGCCCTTCTCTCGACTGAGCCCAAGAGGCAGATGAATATTAAGTTATATTTCTATGATGGAGCTTAGTCTATTTCTATGAATGAAACTTCAGAGAGCAATGTCCTTTATGAAATGCTTCGTGAGCATATTATAGGAATTGCTCATTATTGAGGATAAACACCCTGAACCCCTGCCTGACCCCAACTTATTTTATTTGATTATGATATGTGAATCATTTTTTTAAAAAGGGCGATGAAGTATAGGAGAGAAGCAAGGAGTGCACAACTTTAGAGTTATAGCATAAAATCATAAAAAGAAGAGAAGGTTTTTAATTGATGACTATGGTGCTACGCTGATAGCTATTAATATTGTGATTTTGCTCGGCGAGGGACTGATGAGGAACAAGAGGCAATTAGGTGAAGGAGAAGAGGATGAAAAATAATGGTTAAAATTATATTTTAGCATTTGTTCGGAGAGCTTTAAGGAGTAGGTTTTTTTTTTTTTAAGAGTAAGAGTAATTTTATTTTTTCTTTATTTTATTTTTATGATGAATTATATTTTCTAGAGTGAAAATATAGCTTGATCTGAATAATAATGCATTTCAACTTTTATTAATTTAATCTGTTTATTTTTATTCAATTAAGTTTTTATTAGTGTTATTAATAGTTTAATACTCTTACAAAGTTGTCAATCATAAAACGATTTTATGATATGTAAGAAATTGAAAACTTTATAAATAACTCAAACCACGTGATAAATACCGCAATGATTAATTCTTTAAGAATAGAGATTAATGCTTATATGTGTTCTATTTCTTTTAGTAACAAATTTCTTCTTCTTTTAATAAAAAAGTGGTTATAAGTGATTTATCTATTATCAGATTCTATAAATAGATACCTTTATTTTTAGAATTCCAGTTGAAGAATTAATTGAGTTTTAAGAATTAAAGATGATTCATATGCCAATGAATTAGACATTAATTAATTTAAGGAACCCCCTGAAATGATTGATTATGTTGGACAGGGAAGGGAATATGGTAGCTGATTTTCTAGCTGGTCATGGGAGTCATTTGATGGAATAAATCTTTCGTGCTACTGTAGCACCAAGATTCAGTGCATCCTATCAATAGGAGCATTACATTACATCAATAGGAGAGAGAAAAAATTTGTCAGAGAAAAGATAATTTTAGCTGACATGTAATATTTCTTTTGGTGAGATGTACTGAATTTTTAGTGCTACAGTAGCACCAAAGATTTAATCCATTTGATGGATTGGAACTTACATGTTCTTCAGGAACCTTGCCAGGATTGTATTACCCTGTTGAGAATGGGCATCTCTAGCCCAAGAATGTGTAATTTGAATTAGTTTACTTCCCCAAAAAATTTTAAATCCGATCAAAATCCCGAGCCTACTTTGAAACAGTGCTCTCATCTGTAAATGAAATCAAATTCATAGGATAAATATATGCAACATACTCCCGCCTCAAATCTTAGCTACAATATAAATTGAATAATTCAAAATGATTCTTTAAATTAATTAAAAAAATTGTACTTAACAGTTTCGACGACTTTTTGACCCTTATCTTTATTAATAATTAATTACCAAATTGACCTTCATTATAAACTATTTCAAAAATTTAACTCCCTCAAAATACATAACACCAATCTGCCCCTGTTTGACCGTTGACCACGAAGCCTACCTGGGTACACCGAGTATCTTTTGAAGTTTTTTGTTTACTCGGGTAGAAAGGTGTGTACCCGAGGATTGTTCTTGATTGCTTGAATTATTTACCCGGGTACGGATGAGTGTACCCGGGTAAATCTTGTAAACCAAGAAATGGGCATACAGATTCAGAACCGATTCACGAACTCCAAAATCGACGATACATTTTAAGAATTTCAAAGAAAATCCGACTAAGCTCATTTTGTTTCACAAAAGCTAGACGATGCAGAACAACAAAAATGGGCATACAGATAAAATGTGCCGCTGAAGCTAAAACTAGTTCAAAAGCAGGCCAGGAGTGAGGCAAAAACTATACCTCTTTTCTTTTTACAATCACTCCTTAGGAAGCCCGCTGCAAATTTTCCTATCCTCCAAAATGTGTGCTAGCATGATTATGGTGGGTTTGCCTTCTAGGCTCTGTGTGACGAGTGATGATGATGCATTGAGGTTAAGGTCATACCTTAGGGTCTATCATGCTATTGAAGTTCCTGTATATTACCAGGCTTTGAGAAATGGTAACAGGGATCCAAGGGACAAGGATGGGTTTATAACTGGTTATGTCTGGAAATATCATATTTTGGTGATTCAAAATATTGCCCACTTTTCACATAAACCAAGAAATAGAAAGTAAACAAAGATACTTCAGTATCCATTTAAGAATCTCCATATTATGTAAGTAACCAACAAATTTGTCGACGACTTTTCACTGCTATCAATAATTGAAGGGTTGTTTACTTTACAAGATTTACCCGGGTACACTCATTCGTACCCGGGTAAATAATTCAAGCAATCAAGAACAATACCCGGGTACACACTTTCTACCCGGGTAAATAAAATTTTTCAAAAGATACCCGGGTAGGTAGGGGTGTACCCGGGTAGACTTCGTGGTCAACGGTCAAACATGGGCAGATTGGTGTTATGTTTTTTGAGGGGGTTAAATTTTTGAAATAGTTTATAATGAAGGTCAATTTGGTAATTAATTATTAGTAAAGGGTTATAAGGGTCAAAAAGCCCAGTTTCGACAACTTGTTATATTGAAATAACACTAATCTATCTTAAGTGACCACCGACCAGGTTGATATTTCTTCCCTACATATTTGAGTGGTGGAAACACAAGGCCAAAAGACAGCATTTCCGTCCCCATTGTACACAAAAATAAAATAAAATAAAATCAATAAATTTAAAACCAAGAGGGGAAGAACTATTTCACTAGGCCAGCAAACAATATTGGCAATAATTTTGAACTTTGTGTACCATGTCCTGATTAAATGTCTACAAAATCATTTAGTGAAGCCGAAATTAAAGCATACGGGAAAACATGATTATGCTAGCTTCAAAAATCATGGCAACGCAAAGGTGCACTAAGGATCACTGTCTCCGAACCTTTCCAATAAAAGTGAGAAGCACTGCAAAACATATAGTGCAAAAAAAGTTCGTCAAGCATATAAAGGACTAGAATTAGTTGGAAAATACAACAATAACAACTGTCGTGTAAAAGAACAAAAAATTAGGCTTGCAAAAAAAGGTTTTTCTTACTTCGACAACAAACTTTAAAACGGCTAAATTAAATATTTCGAAAACCAAAGCCACAGTACGTAGTTTAACAAAAACAACTTTTTTGAAACACAATATCTACTTGTATGCACTCGGTAGCTCAAAATTTGCAAGAATTGGTAAACATCAAAATTGATTTATTAGATTTACCACAAAAGCCAAACTACTACATAGAAGATAGATGACATTTCAGACAAGCAAAAACATCAAACAGTAGTATATATTGAAGAAGTACAATATTAAGCAATTGTTATCATAAATATTCAGGGCTAGCTACCTTCGAGACATACAATACGTAAACAAACTAGTGCAAAAGTGAAGGTCTTTAACATAGGCTAATATGTTTTATGAATAGGGGGCGGGGAGATTAAAATAAAAAAGTCAATGTGCTGTTTCCATCAACCAGCCTGCTAAACCAAAATATTTCTGAAAGAGCTTATGCACATTCTAAGCATTACCATGTTTTTAAGAGACTCTAAGAAATGTTCATCACAAAAGAAAATATATTTCCATAAGATGTTCTTAATGTATCTCTTTTGCAACACTTGGTCAATGACCACAACATAATATAATTTAATCACCAAAATGAAAATCATTAGCAAAAATAATAAATATATTGTCGAACCTGCTAATTCTTGACTGATCCATGAACATCACAAATTTACTTGTCTCAAAGAGACGGTAACACTAAAAGTTAGATTGAGCGCAAATGCCACAGAAATGTGGCCTATTTTCTTCTTCTTTTTCATGAACTCAGGCAAAATATTTGTAAACCAAGATAATTTTTTTTTATTTTTTTAGATTTTTTAGAACATCAAACTCATCAAAACAACGTAAACGATTATAATAGAAAGACAATGCTTCACCACCAAAGGTAGTGCTGATTCTTCAAAGTAAACACCAAAGCCCCCACAAAATAAACAAATATTTAGGAGCAATAATAACAAGAATAAACAGTAAAAAATGGGAGTGAATTCTCTCATATTAAAAATTCACATGACTTGGTTATGTGAAATTTTTGTGCCTATTTCTCTCTTTACATGCATTAAATAGATATGGTCCAATTAACATTAACAAAGAGATAGATAAAAAAAATTTACACGACCAAGTCATACGAATTTTTAACACGAGAAAATTTATTTATGTAGATAATAAAGTTAATTATAATAAGTGCTATGAAATCTGAAAAGCTTTTCCTTCAATTTTAGTTAGCAAGTAAATGTGTCATTTTCTTTAACCTTCAAGTTACAAATCAGAGACAACCCCTCCTAAGGTGAAGGTAGGAAACAATTCATAGGATTAAACTTTTATACAATTATATAATCAGTTACGCTCAAATGCTGACTCAGCAAATGTGAAGGCAATTCTGTTACGTGAAATGGTTGTGTGGGAAGCATTCATTAAAAAAGGGAAAGCATGATAAAAGGAATAGCAATGGGAGAGGACATTTTATTGGGATTTCAAGACTTTGGGCAGGGAGAGACCAAAAGCTCTCTAAACCTAGGTGGTTAGAGTCAGGATTAAAATTTCTCAAAACAGAAAAATTAAAATTGTGCTAAATCTTGTACTAACAAACACAATAGTATATGTATTAAGAATGACAAGGATCGTTCTCTAAGAACAAGGACTTTAGTTTCTTTTCTCTAATATGTCCTAGTTTCTTGAATCTCAAGAAAACTACTTTTTAAAATTGGAAATTAAATTAACTAAATTTTCAATAAGAAAAGATTCAGTAAAGAAACTTGTAATATCAATTCAACAAGTAAAAAGGTCGTTGATTTCTAAAGTCATGGATTTCCCTTTAACAAATTGCATCCCGTATCCAAATTGCTATAGAGCTTTTCTCACAGAAATTCAACGTCTGAAGCACTTACT